CATACGTGAACGAAAATGTCTCCAGGCTTTGGAAAATATTACCACAGAAGGAATATACTGGAGTGAGTCAATTTATATTATAAATTAAGGTTGACTATGTATAATTTGCACCATCAAGCGGACAGGAAACGAGCATTGTATTCACTGCTTTCAGGGGGACACCTCCAGTACACCTAGTACGGCTGACCTTGTATGGCCACCTTGATTGGGGCAACTAGATGACATGGCCACCTTGATTGGGGCAACTAGATGACATGGCCACCTTGATTGGGGCAACTAGATGACATGGCCACCTTAAGCAATCACAAGGTGTAAACGGCCTGGTAGCTAACTAGTCAACGATACAGACGTTTGGCAGCTCGTCAATCATCGTGAATTTCTGGACATCTTGTTGTGGTTTCAGGTCTTTCAAAGGCCAAATTAAGATCTTTAATTTCTGAAATGAACATGAAAAAAGGTAAAACGTCTGACTATGCACACTTATCTGGGTGTTAGGTTAGGTTAGTTTCAACAGTGAATTGGAAGTTGAAATTGTTATGATAATTTTTTTTGCTGTATTCTCATAACAAAAAGGAGGTACAGCCATTAAACGAATGTTTACCCTTTTCCGATACTTTATACATATTAAGACGTGAGGATCATAGAGTATACATGCTTCTAACATATACATATGCAGCATTCACAATAACAAGGGAGTTTCTCCGAGTACTCAATTTCTCATTTTCTCTATTAGTCCATAGCCCCCACCATTCCCTTATAGAAAAGGAGGATTGAAATGCATAACTATGATAACTGACTGAAAATTTAGCAGATTTCTATTGAAGACAGAAGACGTGCTGTGCTAACATCAGAAGAAAGTCGACGATGAAAAGGTGGATCATCAGAAGGACCAACCGACTACCCCTGTTGTGCTGCCGGCATTCCTTATCTCCGAGACCAGCTGGACGGAGGACGTGAGCCAGCTGGACCACACTAATGTACTGATGTTGTTGATGTACAATAAAAAGATATTACACCCTAACATGTGAAGTAGGAGCATTTTTTGTGTATTTTGAAGTATTTCATTCTCTGATTTTTGTGAACATGTACTACAAAGAATGTATTAATTAAGAAAGATTAGTCACTTTTTCTATGAGTTCATTTGATCAATGTTTTGTATTACCAAATGCAATGTTGCAGACATAATACTGAGTGGGACGAATTATTATTTTGACACGGCCTGGTTAGGCAATGTAACACCTGTTATTGTTTGTAGAATGTGATTTGCAAGTTTGCCTCGGACACTATGCTAGATATGAAGGATCTTTAGTTCACTCTATGTTCACTTACTATGTATATGTTTTTTTTCTCCTGTCATAGAAGCTTTAATCTTGGCGGGAGGTATAGTGATGGGTTGTCAGACCACAGCTTACATCTCAGAAACAGTCCAGATCTGACCCGACATTAGGGGGGTCAAGTGTAAGGGTACTCCTCGCGGCCGCTCAAGGGGGTTATAAATCAACCAGCACCCCTCCCTTGTCACACGGCCCCAACAAATATGTAAGAGACACCCAGTCAGAAGAAGCCACCTGCCTCCAACATATACAACAACTTTAGTCTCAGAAAAAGTCCAGACCTGACCCTACATTAGCGAGGTCAAATGTAAGGAGACCCTTCGCCGCCCCCACGATCAGCTCAACCTGACGGCTCGTCTCCCAATATATAGGACGTCGTAGCCCTCCCTCACGGGAGTCAGACAGAGAGTCGAGGGAGCAGAGTCGAGACAGTCAGACAGAGAGAGCCGGAGGCAAGCCTCCTCTGGTGGAGCGAGACTTCCCTCCGGACACCGGTGCCCAGCTAAGCAGTCTCCCATAGAGACAACCCAGGACCACCTGCTAGGCCTCCCCCAGGTCACGTGAGTGTTTGTCAGAGCTTTCCATGGGATGAGTTACTTACGTGGGAAGTGTATTCATTTCATGTTCGTGTCCGAGAATCAGTGTCTAATAACGTAATATGATGTACTAGTAACGTAAATATAATGTCCTAATAACTTCAATAGAAGGTGTTATTAATGTGTCCATGTCATTGTCGTAATTAATAAACAGTTGTAACAAAGCGGTGTTTGAGAAGTCGTCCTTAAGAACGTAATAGATGTGTGTTGACGTATAAGATAAGTTAAGTGTATTGACAGTGTAAATAACTAACACGGCCACGCTACCAAATTCTTCCTCTCTTTACATTCCTCTTACTATAAATATTCTTTCTATATGTGTAATCTTCTTCTTGTGAGTTCCCCTCATTATATATATATATATATATATATATATATATATATATATATATATATATATATATATATATATATATATATATAATAACATCAAAGCTACTAAAGAGAGAGAGAGAGAGAGAGAGAGAGAGAGAGAGAGAGAGAGAGAGAAACGTCATTAGTTAAGAAAATTAGTGGGAGACTGAGAAAAATTGACACGGGGCATAAACTATATTTATCACATCACTTATCAGCCATTAGGATATAAATATTATATTGAATAAACGTGAAAAAAATATAAAAATATAGATAAATAAGGAATGAATTAAGATCAGGGACTCAGTATATATGGAGTGAACAAAGAAACAAACAAAGAATTCAAATCAGATCCCCAAAATAACCATGAGCACTTAAACTGAGACTTCCTGTTGACGATTATGCAAAGCTTCCACCTACGATAAGACTGTTTTTTGTTTTACTTCTGACGGTAAAGGTTAGTACAGAAATGGTCGTACATTGAGTGAGTGGTTGAGAAGAACAGTATGCGGTGAAATATTCTTGTGGTGAAGTGTGAAGGGGAAATTTCTAGTGTTACAATAATTTAGAATGTAGCTATTTATCTTTTTCTACTTACAGCAAATATTACAAGAACAGCTCGTAAGATCTCAGAGGAAAAGTGATGTTACGGGCACCAGGATCATCATAATGGTGAGTTTATTATTAAGATTATATATGAATTTAGACTTAGAAAATAAGCTTTGAGATGATGCTAACTTTTTTCATTGTATAGAAGTTATTTTAGTTGAAGGAAGTGGTGACGTTAGTGAAGGAAGTGAAGTTAGTTAGTGAAGGAAGTGATGTTAGTTAGTGAAGGAAGTGATATTAGTTAGTGAAGGAAGTGAAGTTAGTTAGTGAAGGAAGTGATGTTAGTTAGTGAAGGAAGTGATGTTAGTTAGTGAAGGAAGTGGTGACGTTAGTGAATGAAGTAAAGTTAGTTAGTGAAGGAAGTGATGTTAGTTAGTGAAGGAAGTGGTGACGTTAGTGAATGAAGTAAAGTTAGTTAGTGAAGGAAGTGATGTTAGTTAGTGAAGGAAGTGGTGACGTTAGTGAATGAAGTAAAGTTAGTTAGTGAATGAAGTAAAGTTAGTTAGTGAAGGAAGTGAAGTTAGTTAACGAAGGAACTGTACTTCACAAGCTAAACGGCTGAAGTGGATGTTAGTTAGTGAAGGAAGTGATGTTAGTTAGTGAAGGAAGTGATGTTAGTTAGTGAAGGAAGTGATGTTAGTTAGTGAAGGAAGTGATGTTAGTTAGTGAATGAAGTGATGTTAGTTAGTGGTTACGAAGTGATGTTAGTTAGTAAGGAAGTGGTGACGTTAGTGAACGAAGTAAAGTTAGTTAGTGAAGGAAGTGAAGTTAGTTAGGTGAAGGAAGATGTTAGTTAGTGAAGGAAGTGAAGTTAGTTAACGAAGGAACTGTACTTCACAAGCTAAACGGCTGAAGTGGATGAAATGGATGGCGGGTGGGATGAAAGAGAGTAAAGATACTCGGAAAGCATTTCACATTTCCCCTACACGAGAGAACACAAAGAACATCACAGTACTGTATAGACTCAAACCTGACATTACTGCCTGTATTGATAATGTCCAGGAGGAGTTCTGAGGTTCATACAAGGTCAACACATACCTACAGTGGGTCAGGGTGGGTCAAGGTGGGTCAGGGTGGGCCAGAGTGGGTCAGGGTGGGTCAAGGTGGGTCAGGGTGTGGGGTCAAGGGGAAGTCAAGGTGGGTCAGGGTGGGCCAGAGTGGGTCAGGGTGGGTCAAGGTGGGTCAGGGTGGGCCAGTGTGTCGCAAGTCTTCAAAAATGGTCGTATGTTAGAATATACCAAATATTTCATCTAGATTAGGTCATAAAAGTGAGACGATCTAGATAACATATCGAACAAGGTCTTACCAACAATCAGCAGCGGTTATCTGGTTGGTTCGCTCTCAGTTGTCTGTACTGAGTGCCATGTGCCGGGATAGTTGGTGCCTTGTGTTCACATCGGAGTAGTATTGTGCCACCCCGCCCCCCCCAGAAAGTACTAACACAGAAAGTACTACCACAGAAATTACTATCCCAGAAAATACTACCACAGAAATTACTATCCCAGAGAGTACTATCCCAGAAGTACTATCCCAGAAAGTACTATCCCAGAAGTACTACCCCAGAAAATACTACCCCAGAGAGTATTACCCCAGAAAGTACTACCACGCTAGATGTATTACCATAGTAGGCAGAACCACAGCAAGAGTAAGTACAATGTTATCATAAAGAACCTGTGACAAGAGGGCAGTACAACTCACCCCTGACACTACCAGAAACGTCAGTCACTACCGAAAGACAAAAGAACGTCAAGCTGCGCACTGTGAAGGCGGCAGGGAACAGCTTAACCAGAATGGGGATTACGATTATCTTAGTGGGTTATCTTACTCAAAGGGTTAAATCATCGTAATCAAAGGGTTAAATCATCGTAATCAAAGGGTTAAATTATCGTACTCAAAGGGTTCAATTATCGTACTCAAAGGGTTAAATCATCGTACTTAAAGGGTTAAATCATCGTAATCAAAGGGTTAAATTATCGTACTCAAAGTGTTCAATTATCGTACTCAAAGGGTTAAAGCATCGTACTTAAAGGGTTAAATTAAGCGGGTTCTTATCGTACTCAAAGGGTTCATTCGTATTAAGCGCTGTATATATTATTGTGTGTGTGTGTGTGTGTGTTCGTGCGTCAATAAATACCTGTTATCGATACACTGAAAGATAACTGCTCATAACAACAACACCTGTTTCTACCGCATTGCCAAGAATAAGATAACGAAAATAACGTTGCTGGCTGATAGATAGATAGATAGATAGATAGATAGATAGATACCGGTACATAAAGAACGACAGACATATATATATATACTCACAAGGTTACAATCCCCCCCAATCCCCCAATCCCCTAGGCCGAGATTGTCCGCCAGCATGTATGGAAACCGGAAGGAAAACAAAAAATACCAACTAGAAAAAAGATTGTTCATGGTAATCTAAAAGCCTGGTGGAAATAAACGTGTGGTGGGTTTGTTGGGCTGGCTTTGCTTGAACAGGCTTAAATATTGCCACTGTTTCTATACCTGCAGTGTTAATATACAGTACAGTCCCCTTCACAAGTGCGTTTACAGGGGCTCGTCAAGTTCAGTCCATTGTGGCAATCCTGTGTTTGTTTCCATTCGACAGATGGAAACTCGCAGTAGTAAACAGACTATGGAATCAAATTTATGGAATGTTTATAATTACGACGAACTCCTGTAAACGCACAAGTGAAGGGGACTGTATATTTTTTTTGAATACCTGCACCATCTATGGATCTAAATACTGAATCCTTGTGAAATTCTATGGCGATTTTACTGACAGAAGTATTAATCTGTCTCTCCCTGGTGACTCTGGACGGCGCAGCTCTATACAATAACGAGTTTATCGAAAGTTACCAAGAAATTCATGTTTTATTGCTACCTTTATCTCTCTGGTGATGCGGGCCGATTGTCTTCCTCCCTTACATAATGCTGATTAAATTAAACGACATTTGCCCTCTCTGATTTTTCTTTGTTTATTTGTTATTGGTTTTTGTCCTTGTTATATTTTATCTTTGTATTACATTTTTTAACAATTCCAAACGGCTATAAAAATGTATTGTTTGTATTTCACTCTCCAGTAAAGAAGCCCCAAGTTCACAATCCGTACAGCGGTAATCACTGATGTCACTGATAAGCGATATCGAAGACCTAATTAGTCTATAGATAGTGTTAGTATGTCTAGATGAGATTTCCCTGATAGCCTGTTAGTTACGTCATGGTCAGGCGTCGTCTGATGTAAGGATTATGTTAGTGAGCTGAATCACTCATTTGCATTCCTCTTAGTTAATATGTGGTGGTAGCGTTAGGTTAGGTACTGAATCCAGTGTTACCTGACATTCACTTCGTCTGTGTTGTTGACGACGGGGCCCCTCCTAGACGGAGTTATCTTATCAGCTGCTAATTCTGTTGTAGCCGTGTCATAAGCCATGTGTGGCCTGGGTTAGTCTGCTGCTGGCTCCTCAGTTGTCCAGCAGTGGCGCAGTGTGGGTTAGTGTGCCCGCCTGTGACTAGTGTTTGTTTACACTTTACATGAAGATCTACGGAGACTTTTAAGCTGCTGGGGCAAGGTGAGTGGCATAACACCCTCCCCCTGCGTCTATAAACTGTTGTCTCTCCTCTTCGTCCGACAGTTTTAACACATACTCTTGACAACAAATTGACAATATTCACATCAATTATCATCAGTATACAAGTGGTTTAAAATTTCCACCCCCACCCCCTGGAAATTATAATAAAAATACCAAAGAAATTCAGCAAAAACAAAAGAAAAACAAGACAGTGACACAGGCTTACGACGAGTGACCTGAGGTATAATCACCAGGCAGAGAAGACGAGGTGAAGAGTCAAGAGGGACGCATGGAGGTAGAGGATTGGTGGGGTTAAGAAGTAGGGGGGAGGAAGGGTAGGAGGAGGAAGGAAGGGGGGGGGGAGGGAAGAAAGGGAAGGAGAGCGAAGGAAGGGGAAGTAAGGGAGGATCGGTAGGGTAGTAAGGGAGGGAGAGGGGGTCAGCAACAACACACTTACTTCTCCTAAAATGCAGCACAAACAAAGCCTTGAGGAAATTCCCCACCGAGGCGCCCCCGAGCTTGACAAGTTTTTTCAAGATCCGGCACACAGTGGTAGGCGAAGGGGAGGAAATACCTGCAGTGTGATGTGTACTCGGTAAACCTGAGTAATAGTTACTTAACGATGTGCTGAGCCTGTATAAGTTCTCTCTCTCTCTCTCTCTCTCTCTCTCTCTCTCTTCAATTAACAATGAATTAAACCTGTATGGTACGTTCTGTGATAAGACATACAAACAAATAAAAATTTTCGACCTGTAAACTGTCACGTGGATAACATGAAGACAGTTAATATGACCTGGACTCCCTGTAGGAAGGATCATTTTTCCCTTTTTCAAGATGGACGCATTTATGACTTATTTTCTTGTTTATTTTTAATTCGGTGTGGCGGTTAAATCTCTCTACTAGTATTACTTTAGTCTTTAAGTCTTGTACAGTCAGCCACAAAAGTCCTATCGTCTCTTCTGCTGCTTCACGAACCCGAAGTAGTAGACTGATGCCTTATTGTCCATAAAATGCTTCGGGTTCACGAGTCTGAATCTCCGGGGTTCGTGGTTCAGTAAGAGAGGCGACAGGATTATTGTTTGCGACTGCACTGTACATCTGATCTGATCTGACCTGACCTGACCTGACCTAACCATTATAACCACTTTTTTCCCCAGGATGCCTTCAGGAAACTACAATAGCGGCTTCGAATGGGATGACCCTCGATCTGGTCGACGAGCAACTGACAACAACGAGACACCTGACAACACAGACAGGTACTACCAAGATCCCAGGTACCAAGGTGTGACAAGGGACAGGTACCAAGGTGTGACAACAGACAGGCACCAAGGTGTGACAAGAGACAACAGGTACCCAGGTGTGACAAGAGACAACAGGTACCCAGGTGTGACAAGAGACAACAGGTACCCAGGTGTGACAAGAGACAACAGGTACCCAGGTGTGACAAGAGACAACAGGTACCCAGGTGTGACAAGAGACAACAGGTACCCAGGTGTGAGAAAAAACTATCAATCACCCCATACAAGAGGCCGGGAACTGGAGAGAGGAGAGAGAATTGTCAGAAATACGACCAACGAGGATCAAGGGCAAGAAGAGTATCCACCAAGGAGCTCCCAGGGCGTTGACGTGAGGCACCAGAGACCCGCTATGTATTCCAGGGAGTTGCAACATGACTCCCAAAGACCCTCGAATCGTCAGTATCCGAAACGTCATGAGACAAGAGAGGCGAATGGTAACGATGACTACCGACGTTATCCACAAGCCAGGGACATCAAGAGGTCACCCAGGAGGCATGATTTAGAGAGGACCTCGCCGGATACTGACGACGAAGTAGAGCTGCAACCTATGAGCAATAACCAACCGAGTATTGACCAGAGACGCGGCCATACGTCCTCCCCTGGACATACAAACAGAGATGTAGATGGAAAACCTGCGATGGGGCATGATGACTACAGAGATGCACACCACCATCAGCGTCACCACCTTCAGGAGCTCCACAGTCACCCGTATCCCCATGCTTTCAGAGGTCCGACTACACACGTGGAGAAGGGGCCCTACACACAAACACGTTACCCGGATCAAGGTTATCCTGACGCCGGCTGTGATGAAGTCGACGCCAGAAGAGTTTATCCCGAAGACCAACCTGACGAAGAGGGATGGACAGAGCTGGCAAACATGATGCCTTCAGAGGTCGACAGACGTCAAGGTGAGTTGGATGATTGTTTTTTATGTGTGTGCTTGTACCAATCTTGAGAATGTATGTTGAATAAAATAAATCATACACACATACACAACACAAACACACTCACACATATATACATACATACATACACAACACACACACACTCACACATAAACATACATACACAACACACACACATACATACACAACGCACACACACACACACATACATACATACACAACACACACACACATACTGTACAAACACACACACACACACACACACACACACATACTGTACAAACACACACACACACACACATACTGTACAAACACACACACACACACACACACACCTTGGTCCAGAGAAGAGTCCAAGAGTATCGTCCCGTGCACAGGTTTACGCCACTTGTCTCCTTTAAACGCCAAATGAGTGCTGTATTTGCAGGGACTCTACGTTTCCGCGGCACACTGAGGCTCTCTCAGAACACCACCACGCAAGACTGGGACGACACACCGAAGCAGGAGGAGCCACGTAAGTGTTCTTTGATGCTCATTTGTCATCAGTCAATACTCAGGAATATAGAGTCTCGCATCTATTGTACAAGTCACAGCACTTTCAGTAAAATACTTCAATAATAACAATAAATGCTTCCCAACATTTACATCTGAAGTCTTTAGCGCACTTAACCTAAATAAAACTACTACTACTAATAAATCCCTTTTAAAAACAACATTATTGACTATTTTCTGTTTTTCTCCATTAATTACCGGAATTGTGAACTAACACGACCAAACCTATGCTTATTATACGGACGCTTCGACTCTTACCCTGCAGCCCTAAGCCAGTGGGAAATCGCCGAGGCGTTGGCCACTGTGAGGGAACAACCTTGGCCCATGAACCGACGAAGGCACACACGAGATGACCTACAGGAGAAACTGGTGAGAAGGGAAGGAGAGAGCCTGTAGACCTGACGAAGGTAGAGAGAATAATTAATTAACACTGCCTTGGGTTAAGCTGATGATTAGACACCCAAGCTTATTTAACCTGATTAAACACCCTAGCTTATTTCACCTGAAGATTAGACACCCTAACGCTCCCTGGGTGGGTTAGGATAGGTTGGGATAGAATAGAATAAGTTAGGTTAGGTTAAGTTAGGTTAGGACAGCATTACGGATGATCCATAACAAGTACAGTATATATATCTCGTGTTTTCAAGGTGTGACCCAGATTAATTAGTAAGTGTGTGTGTGCTCGGCAGGTGAGGAAGGAGATGAGATGGTATTCTATGCATCCAGCGATAAAGAGAGGCGGGACCACCCTCAACCGCTTCTTCAACGATATAGATGTAAGTATAATATTAATCTACACTTCACTATTACCTTCTCCCTCCCCTCTCATTATACCTCTGTTGAAGAAACCAAACTAGAATAATATTTAATAAGACTTTGGAAATAATAATAAGACGAATGATCCATCTATCCCTTCATCTATCTACCCACCCACCTATCTATCTATCCCTCTATCTATCTAACTCAGTGGTTCTCAACCTTGTTTGCCCCATGCACCCCTTTCACCATATGTCAGAATGTCATTCCCCCCTCCTTTCCAAGAATGTCTGCCTCAAAAAGTGCATTCCAAATAATATGCATATAATACTGAAAATCCTTTATTTTTTCCATATTAGTACATATACATTTACAATTTTACATGGATTATTTTTATAGTGGAGTTTTACAAATTAAATGCCAATTGAAAATGTTGATGGATTTATAAAACTTGAATAAAAGTAAAATAGTTTTTTATATATTTATAATGAATTACTCAACAGACCAAACTGAAGCATAATGCAATAAACAAAAAGTTCAATAGAATACCAGAATATTGTAAATTTGTAATTAATTTTATTCGGATGAAGATTACAGTCAATGAGAAACCTGTGATTGTTTTTTCTTCGCCAATTCTGGGATACGCGGAGGAATGCTTGAAAGGGCACAACGCAGGTCATTTTCTACCTCTAATCTACTACGTTGCTTCGTTTTAATTTACAACAGAGTTGAAAAGCCTGACTCACAAAGATATGTCGACACAAACGGAAGCAATGCACGGATAGCTCTTTCTGCCACTTTTGGGTAGGAATCGCACATCAAGGGCCAAAATTCTGTGATTGATTTCTCATCGAACATAACTCTTGCTCCCGAATCAGTCCCCCCCCCCCTGAAAACCTGAATTCCCCCCTGGTTGAGAACCCCTGATCTAACTCATGATATTTGTATATGTGGTTGTTTCTTTTGGTAATGTAGTTCCTTATTTATTTACATACTGTTTATAAGTACTGCACACTCTCAAACTCTTCTCTGTTGGGGCGTCTTCTCTCAGCCATGGCAGAGAGTACTGAAGAAGATTGAGGGCAAGTTTGGCACGAGTGTTGTGGCAGTGTTTAACTTCCTACGAGACATGATCCAGCTGAATCTCCTGCTGTCGCTGCTGGTGGTGGGAGCTGTGGTGGTTCCCTCGGCGCTGCTGGTCAAAGACTCGGATCAAGGGTACAGGTGGATCGCTCCGGGTAACGCCACGGCCTCAAGAAACCTGTGTGGTGACTTGCATTTGGAATACAACAGTTCGGTAAGAAGACGAGACGCCGTGTGTGTGTGTGTGTGTGTGTGTGTGTGTGTGTGTGTGTGTGTGTCTCCCCGTGTATACATAGCTGTGTTAATGCTCACATGATAAAAATCTATCCACTTTGACTATACATAGCCTGTGTTAGCATATCCAAGTATAATGCTTTTAATAATTCATGTTCTCTCACTCACTGTATTAAGACATAATACATATACTTTCCTCCAGTGGCTACAGTGCAACACAAACTACAGAGAATACATAGAAGATGTTGTTAAGAATCACAGCGGTGACTCGGTGGCCTTAGTTCAAGATTTCCTACAAGGGACTGGCTTCCTGGAGTGGTCGGTACTGTTCAGCGGCTACTATACCCCTAAAGTTAACGACGGTCACTACCTCATCAGTCTGGCCTACGTCCTCACCGTCCTCTTTGTGTACTTCATATCACTATTCTATGTGGTGTACTTCGTTGCCAAATTCCTTCGTAAGACGACGGGATACTCAGACAAATACAACATGACTTACACCAACATCGTCTTCACAGGGTGGGACTTCACCGTGAACGAGCATGATGCGGCACAAACGCAACACAGTCTTGTTGTGAGTGAAGTGAAGGCAGCTTTTGATGATGAACAATTCTTCAAGACGAAACAAAATCGGAACAATTGTGACTTGGCCGTCCTCTACCTCACCCGCCTCTTTATCAACGTAATGGTCTTGGCTCTGATTGTCGGAGGGTGGACGGGCATTTACTTCCTGGTGAGACAATCTGAGGATGAATCAGAAAGTGAAGAAGAATACAAACAGTTTCTGTGGGAGTACGCACCGACAGTGACGGTGTCAGCCCTCAACTTTGTCTACCCAATTATATTTGACTTCGTGGTGAAATATGAGCACTACAGAGGGCGCACTGAGCTCTTCATAACCCTCAGTCGTTGTGTTCTCATCAGACTGACGTCGCTGGCAATCCTCGTCATAACAAAAATGAACGTCATCTCCGAAGATTCTCATGACTGCGACCCCACAAGGAATGGATTCATATGCTGGGAGACGCACCTCGGCCAACAGATATACTCTGTCTTGGTTCTAGATTTTATCATTCAGATTGGAATGACTTTCGTGGTAGGTGTAGCAAGGACCGCAGTAGGTCACCTCGAGCACCCCCTCTGTAAAGCAGTGGGACATATGGAATTCTATGTGCCTAGTCATGTGTTGGACATCGTGTACACGCAGGCACTCTGTTGGCTGAGTATCCTGTACTCCCCCATCATGGCGGCCATCTGCTTCCTCTACTTCTGCATATTGTTTGGCCTCAAGTTTTTCACAGTGACCTGGACCTGTGTGCCACCTACCAGGGTGTTCCGCACCTCTCGCTCCTCCGCCATGTTCATGACCATTCTCTCAATCGCCTTTGTGGTGTGTCTTGTACCTAACGGCCTGGCCCTCCTCCTCCTCACGCCCTCCAAGGCTTGTTCACCATTCCGAGGCTTGGGGTGCGGCTGGGAAGCCCTCACAGATTACATATGCAACATGGACAATTTCGCATCCTGGATCAGGTGAGAATATTTCATGTATCCTTCACGAAAAATACTCGACACTTTAGAACTGTAAGATTGTGTTGCCAATTAGTGTATAAACAACACACAGGAGGGATCTCTATAACATTCTCTTATGAAACCAAAAGTACCATCACTAACACCCAGCCATTCACGAATACAATTATCGCAAAACTTGAGAACTAAAGTTACACACACACACACATTTACTTAACAATCCCCCGCCACACCACCACTTCTCATGAATGTCTGTCTGTCTATGCCTCAGGTGGGTGTTATTTGCACTGGACGACATGGTGGTGTCCATGAGTATCCTGATGGTGGCGATCCTACTCCTCACCTACTACGTCACGGTCATCAAGGCTCGCTGGGCCCTCATCAAAAGACTCGAGAAGAAGCTTAAGTACACGGCCAAGGACATCGCCTACCTTAGAAACGATGAAAAGACACGCCAGGCTTTATGTGCGGCGCGGATGTTCTCACAGGCAAAGTGAACGACCACAATATATTCAACTAACACGCATTTAGGACAATCGTGTAACATTCTTGTGTTTGTGTGAGAGAGAGAGAGAGAGAGTATTTTTGCAACATATATTTCTTTGTTAATGATTATGGAGCCTATAATATTGTATGATCATTTATATACATTATTAAGACGGTAGATATTTTTTACTTATATTGGCCACATTATGTTACGGTGAATTATGTTAAAAAGGGACCACGAACAAGACCTTTCGTAATTATAGGCTTTATGGATTACGTTAAGATCAGCCCCCCACCCTTAAGAGCTTATACCCGAAGAGTCGCTCACCCTCTTTCCTTCAGGTCTCGTTCTCAACTACATCAGTTGTATGTTCTGTTTCTATCACTGTAATATTATGAGACACTCAGAACCATCATTCACCTAACCAATACGGTCTCAAGTTAAAATGTGATGCCCAGGTTTATCATACACTACTTAAATTTAAGAATGCATTATACAATAGTATCACAATACAATACAATATTGTGTACAAATCTACAAAAATTAAACACATTTTCATCATTCGTATGTACAATAATTAAAGTAGGTAGGTAGTTAGGGTAGATTAGTTTAAATAAACATAATAAATGAGCTATATCATTGTGTACAAAATTTAACCTGGGTCTTCAAGGTCTATAATTGAATTTTATTTTTTTTATTTATTTATTATTATTATTATTTTTTATTTTTTTTTGGGGGGGGGGTATATGGGACTAACCAGCCAGGGCTGCATAGCGTCGATGCGGTCGTATCATGTCACATCCAGAAAATGCCTCAAATTTCACCATATCAAAGTAAGTTTCTTTCTGTTTAATATACCGGAGAAGTTAGGTAAGGTTAGGTAGGTTTATTTGGTTTGGCCTATTCTTCATACCCACAAATGTTAAGTACCATTTATTTAAAAAAATATAAATCTTTTAACATATTTCCACAAACTATAACTATAACAGCGTTTTTATAATTGTTTTCAATCAATTTCGCTCGCGGGTTAGTCCTATATAATTATTTTTTTTTACACTATCTTTGTGTTTATTCCTCTCTCTGGAAGCACTTGTCGATACGTTCATTTAACAACAGATAAAACTAAAAGACACGAAAACTTAAGGAAAAATCTGTGCCTTACTTTTGGCCCCATAATACTAAGAGAATGAGCCTAATTAAACTCGGGCAAATGGAGATTTTTCTCTATTATTTAATGTCCTAATTCATATCAACCATTTACAGAAAATGCATCTTACACCCCCATTTACGAGTAATAATTTCCATACGATCCTTAAGAGATTCACAGTTCGAGGCGTCAAGTGGGTTTTCGATATACAGTACTGTACTTCTGTTTCTTACTATCACAGGCTACGGGGTTCTTTAGGTGAAAATGGACAATTGAGATGGGTTGTGATTACACTAATTTAAAACACTTTATATCTGGAGCTAAAGTGTTCAAATTTTCTCTATAACCAAACATTACCGGTATATCATAAATCATTCAGTATTGATGGATAACGGTATATTATGATAAGGTATTGAATTATTGCTTTATAATTATGTATTGATATATCTATATGGGTAATGATTCGGTCGTATACATAAACGGAAACTAGTAAAAAAAATTAACCTAACCGTACTAAAAAGTAGTCTTATTTGGCTCTATCTCTCTCTGTATAAAAATCAATATGGTATTCCATCCATGTCTACCATTTTTCACCTCATATGATTCAGAAAACAACCGATATTTTTTTCCGTAATCGATTATGAATTTATTCCAATACCGGAGTTGTTAAATATTTATTCTATTATCTAATTACTGTCATATACGTCTGTTCATTTATGGGTGTTATTGCATTTCCGCACACAACATTCCTACCCCTAATCTATTACCATATTCGAATAAGACGTCTAATTATAAGATCATTTTCTTCTATCATCTATTACATTACCGTCGCAAATGTATAATAATGGAGATAGCTTATCCAAAATTTTCTATTTCCTTCCAGTAATCTTGAGTCATTATCGCCTACCTCACCTCCCACACTGTGTCTCTCCTTCATACATCATCACGCGTTTGGTTTTTTTGGAGGGGAGGGGGGAGGAGTGGACCAATTAAAATGATATTATTTAATTCGCGGTATTTTTGGCCTAATCAAATTCGACTTTTATTTTGGGTCTCTTATATTTCGAAATTCAAATTCATTTCCGACCATGGAAGTCTGCGATGGGTGTTACTTCAATTTTATGGAGTTGACTGCGAGTTTTGGGGAAAAAAACGAAGAAACTATAGCATTTTTTTTCGATCTCATAGTGTTCTCCCAACCTCAGTGTTATACTTCATCAGTTCTTGGGAGAAGCTGCCAGCCTATACCCACTGTTAAGCGAGAATCATCACCAGTAACCTGTACTAATCTCAGAATCCAACGACGGTAAGAAATAAGTTATTCAATCATATGGTGAAAGTCAGTTAGGTTAAGTAGTTTGTTTTTCTAGTGTTATTTTGTGTATTTTGTATTCGCTTAGCCATAATTTTTGTCGGAAAACGCCCCACAAAAAAAAACCCGACCAATATCCGACGGAAATGAAGGTCATAACCTATCTAAACACATAAATACACTTGAACAAATATTTATGTTGTGTGCACTTACGTAAATTTACCCATTCATGTATGATCTTATTATAAAGGTTATCAGAAGATTCCAATGTATTGTACGCATAATTTACAGCCTAAGTATAGTACACGGCTTCATATCCCATCAAAGTTCAGTCTCGTCCTCGCCATTCTATCCTGCAGAACTTTTGACTACTGTATTAACCATGTTTTATATCCTGATTATATAATACTCTGGAACTTCTTTTTTAATAAATTTATAATAAGTTTCCCGGGGTCACGAATTAACGCCATATTAATTGTAGTTGTATACCTACAGTACCGCCATTTTAACTATACACTACGGCCAATTTAAGAAACATATACAATATCCTCCTGCATGAAAAAAATACACATAACTAATATAAAAAAAATACTAAAACTAACCTGTTTATATCCTCATGGCTCTTGTAGTCCCCTTGGCTGAACCATACTGTACATACTGGAACGGTTTTCTTCAGCCAACAGATTACCTTATATTCTTGCTGTAACGTCTAATTTCCACCACTTTCAACACACTACTCGCCATGGTGATCATTTAGGGAGCACTACACTCTTAGATAATATATAAAGGACTCATTTTACACAGAGTTCAGAAAATGTCAGTGATCTCAACAGTTGAATGAGAAAGTGATGATTGACTGACTGAGGGTAAAACAAACAGCAAACTCTACTTGTTAACTGAAGAATAAAATCGCACCTAACATTAACTAAAGCACAAAAATTATATCAGAAAAATATAAATTATATATTGTAATTTTATATTAACTAGATACATTTCTTTAGCATAGATAAAATTAATGTGAAGAATCTTTTCCTAAATATTCTGTATTTTTGTTTAAAGTTACTCATTGTTGAGTTAATGTAAAGCCATATTTTATTCTTCTAGATATTTTTGTTTCAGCTATTTCACTTGTTTTGGGGAAATTTAATCAACCTTACATTCCTTTGTTTTCCAGTGACACTAGCAGGTCGTGTCCAACAAGGATAAAATACTGTTTTTTGCCCTTGGTGTCCAACATTGCTCTTATTTACTGTATACTTCTCTGCTAATACTACAGTCATGATCAGATTTATTTATGTGTGTATGAGTGCATTTATCTGTGTGTGGGGGGGGGGGGTAAATTGATAAAAAATATGATTTTATGATATAGAGCATTGTGGGTATCTAAAATCACTATGCGACTATAGCGTGCGGTCTACAAAGATATCTTTTGTCTAACCTGACCTAACCCAAGCTATCTTATAGTATCACCGATCACATGGTGCATCCCAGTGCTAAGAGAGTCGTACAACAAGCTTGCCGAGCCCCTGAAGATCCTGTTCTGTAAATGCTTGGATGAACAAAAGGTCCCCGGTGATTGGAAAATGGCTTACGTGAGTCCTATCTCCAAGAAGGGCGATCGTCATTCCACAAACAACTATAGACCGGTACTATGTAAAGTACTGTACAGTACTTGAGAGCATTATCAGAGATGCCACGATGGAACATCTACTACGAAACAACCTTGTAAGGGATTATCAACACAGTTTTATGCCGGGGCGCTCCCGCTTAACACAATTGCTCAGGGTATTGGCTATTTGGACCCATATTCTGGAATGAGGTGGTAATATCGACAATATATATAGTCCGTCCTCAACTTACGACGGGGTTCCGGACCGACGACCAGGTCGTAAGTTGAAAATGTGAAAATAATGCATAGAAATTCTTAAATGAAATACGGTACAGTAAAAGTAATCAACAATGAAAAATGAATAAAGTGTTACTGTGCACTTATTTTAATGTAATCAGCTGATTGCGCACGGGGCCTCAATAATTTTTTAATTGTTGATATCATCGTGAGAGAAGCCTAGGTCGCGTGAAATTTTTTCAGTACACAGCACGATAACTAACACCAATGATGGCCAAACACCAAATGAGCGGGCTACGGCATGGATGCTGTACACCACGAGGCGGCCCAGCCCACACTGTCATATGGGACGAAAACGTTTCGATACTAGAAAATACGTAATTTGAAAAATAGTTTATACAACTGCGGTGGTCGTAAGTCGAGGAGTACCTGTACCTAGATTTTGCCAAGGCTTTCGACAGTGTACCCCATGTAAGGCTGAAAATCAAACTGGAAGGGTCCGGAATTCGGGGAAAAGTCCTAGTGTGGATAGAAGAAATTCTACATGACTGCAAGCAGTGTGTGGTGGTTAATGGCACGAAATCATTATCTGTACCTGTCACAAGCAGGGTACAGACAGTGCAGTATATTGGGCCTGCTGTTGTTTGTTTGTTTCATAAATGACATGCCTGACGCTGTACACTCCTCCATACAAATGTTTGCGGATGACGCCAAGTTATTTCGGGAAATCAAGAACCAAGCAGATTGTGAAGAACTGCAGAAGGATCTCTGTGAGCTCCAAGATTGGTCGAAGAAATGGCTGCTGAGATTCAATGTCATGAAGTGTAAGAGGATGCACCTGGGACGTACCAACGGTCAGGAGGCGTATCATATGACCCAACAGGATGAAGAAATTGCACTACAGTATTTGAGACTGAATGTGAGAAGGACCTAGGTGTGTATGTTGACAATGAGCTGAAGTTCTCAGGCCATTGTGAGAAGAAGGTAAATCAGGCAAATGAATTATTAGGTCTTAAAAGAAGGTCGTTCAGATATCTAGGTCCCTCGTAACGATCTTCAAGAATGAGGTGCTTCCCCATCTGGAGTACTGTCACCCCGCCTGGTCCCCGAGATATACTAAGGGCTGTCAGTTGATTGAAAATGTTCAAAGGAGAGCCACCAAACTGGTGCCTGCATTTCAGGACCTCAAATACCCAGAGAGATTGAGGCGCCTGAACTTGCCTAGCTTATACAACAGACAGGCAAGGGGCGACTTAATTGAGGTGTATAAGAATCTCAAGGGGCACTACTCAGTTGAGTGTCCTTACCTGGAGCTGGCGGACACTTGCCCCACAAGGGGTCACAGCTCAAGGGTGAAGAAGATGCAAGTCCAGAAAACTGTGAGGGCAAACTTTTTCAGAGTGAGAGTTGTAAGCTCTTGGAACAATCAGCCAGAAATTGTTGTGAGGGCACCGAGTGTGAGCTCTTTCAAGACCAGACTTGACCAACACTGCGTAACAGAGACATGACCGATCGCCCAAGCGGCTAACGAGCAGATCAGTAGTGAAGAGGATAAAAGAAAGGAAAAGTATTTCTTCATCATAGATTTGCATAAGACAACAATATCAAGGATACTACTTAAATGCACAGAATATACAGGCTGTTAGAAAAATCCCTTTGCTACCTACTTAAAAATCTTAGTTGTTGAACTGCAGGAATAACATTATAACATCAATGATTTGAGAACCAGATTGTATTTTATGAATTAGGAAGTGATAGTTGATACTGTACTTTGTCAAGCTTTTTGTACACAATGGGAGATCCTGATACAATACTTACCATGTTAAGATGCGCTTCCTCAACTTAAATACTGCTCTGATTTTTTGTTGGGGAGTCTGTCAATATTATTAAGACTGTACCATAGTGTTGGGGTTACACTAAACATTTAACACTAAATGAAAGACCTTTAACACACACACAAACACATAATTTAACCAAAGCTGTAATGAACCCTTTTATTCTTATTTTCTTTTAAATGTTTTAAGGAAATACAATCATCTCCATCAGTACTGTAAGTTGAAATGAAAATAAGTATTCTTTTGGCTAACAAGCAGAACTGTTTGTGTAAATAGACAGTACAGTACAATATTTGAATTAGCATATACTACAGGTAAATAAATAAAACATAAATATCAAAAGTCACAGACAATATTAATTGTTACACATACTATAACCAACTCTCAACATAGTTTTCTTTAATAGACAAGCTGATTTATACAAGGGATCAAATTTGAGACTACAGTAATGCCAATATTTGCATTCAGAAGAACAAAATACCACCAACAGCCATGATAATGAGGCGCTCGGGTCAAGAGGAACAAATCAGCCAACTAAAATCTAACAAATGTAGAAGAAATTTAACATAGTTTGAAAATACACTAAAGTTCCTATTATTTAAGACCAGTTTCACTTATCTTGTGTGCTGTGCTACAGAGACACACACAATATAATGTGCACGAAACAAAACCACTCGTATCTCGAAACATAATTTTGGTTGATTCGCTCCCTCTTACTCCCATGGCCTCATATAAACCAATAAAGGGAAACCAGTGTAGTTCTATAGGTCATCCTAGGGTGAGGCGATCAACCAAGATGTACGCAACAGAACTTTGACCTCTATCGTATAAGTTGCATGGCATGGTAATGCCTGTTAACCCAAGTGATGTTATACTCTTACAAGATGAGAGAGAGAGAAAATAGGATATACAGTAAGGGGAACAGAGAGAGAGAGAGAATAGGATACAGTATACGGAATAGAAAGACAGAGAAAATAGAAACTTAAGGTTAAAAGAGACAGAATAGAGGGAAAAGAGAGAGAGAGAATATAGTAGTACTGTACCTGTTTTTGTATTAAGACACAAAGACTCAGGAAAAAATGCATATGCCTCACTAGAAAGTCATTATTAAAATCACAAAAAAATCCCAAGACCACACAGTGGCCAATACACTGCTCTGCACATGGAATAAACCAGACTAAACATCATAAAACTGATGTATCACCACAACCATATAAAGGAAGGTCTACTTTCCTGATATTAATTCGTAAAGCACAGAAAACAGTAAATTGAAGGTAGTCAAATATTACCTCTCATTACTAGGATTGATGTTATCTCCAGAAATTAATCCATCTTTATAAATTTCCTGTGAATGTATCTGAAGAAGTTGTTCATTATCTCAAAATATTATGTTGTATGAACAGTTTTCTCCTACAATGAGAAATATCAGTTATTTCAAGAATGTGTTTTTTTAGCTCAAGATTTTTTTCTTGAGAAATTCTCATTAACTCCAGAATTCATTTACAGTCTCAAGAAATTCATTATTATCTCAAGGAATGATCTATCACCATGAGAAGTGATCTACTGTCTCTGGAAATGATCTGCCTTGAGAAATAATCTTTCTCTAAAGTTGATCAAGTACGGACATCTCTAGAAATGATCTCTAAGACTGAGGAATATCTCCACTACCACCGACTGCAGCTCTGGACAAAGGTTCTGTTTCAACCTAAATGTTTCTTCTCCAAATTTACATGATAAAACACATCAAGCTATAGAAAAGTCTAAGTGTAAATTCAATGTCACTTTGGGTGTTGTCTTTATATGCCATCCTAAGTCAACCTGTTAAGTATAGGAGTACTGTACACTCTAAAACACACAGTTACTGTAAAAATATCCCTCCACTTTGATCTTGCCTTTAGTCACGTGCAAGATTGAGATGTCATGGGATAGTCAGTTAGATGCATTCTGAAAATCTAGTCACAGGAATGGATAGCAAATGGACCCTACTGGATATAAGCATCAGATGGCTTTGTTGGCTAACTTTGGTCAGATTGTCTTGCTATTTATTATTGTTGGTTACCTGCACTGTCTTGGTATGGGTACAGTGAAAATTTTACACCTGGATGGTCTACATACACTGCACACCTGTACCTGCATTGACTTTACAAATGCTGAATAAATATTATTATTATTATTATTATTATTATTATTATTAGTTTTACCCTGAATTAATATTATTATTATCATTGAGAATTAGGTCCCTGGTTAGCAACAATAAGTGACAGAGCAACACTTTCATCCTTCTTTTAGTCATGTGCAAGGTAGAGATGCTTTTTCTTTGTCGATTTGTAAGCAAAGATCTCATTGTCCAGGATGTAGTGCTGGTACAGTAAATTCATCTGCTGAACATCCAGCTGCCTCAGGTAGTCTTTGATGTCACTTTGGCTCAAGATTTTATTATTATCCGTTGACTGAAGAGACTTTGATGAATGCTGCTGGAGGTAAACAAAAAAATATTAGACTATTAGCTTACCGTATGCTGTTGGTGAAAGAAAAATATTTATAAGCTTTAGGGGTTTTACAAAGAGAATTGTTATCCAAACTTTCATTCATAATGAAAGAAAAATGTTTCATGTTTTAATCATTTCAAAGATAATGGTTACCGGTATAGAATCTTTAACTCTTGCTGAAAGAAAAAAAGACAAAGCATTTGAGTTTTTGCAATAGAAACCATGATATGATTTGGTGAATGTTAAGAGAAGTAACATTTCTGATTAAGAGGAACATTCTGCTTCATAGGTAAAGTGTGAAAGGCTTAAGTAATGACAAAGGAAGGTAGTGTAATAAATTGAAAAAAGTGTTAGCTTTAAAGTTGATTATTTTTAATTTACTAGTGTAGATACAAAAGAGGAAAATATGGAAACCACTGGCCTCCACATTAAGACTTAAGGAAGGATACAAAAGGAGCGACTCACATCTTTGTATGTCTTCATGTTAGTTACTGAAGCGAGGAACTTCTCGTCTTTCTCCAGAGTCTCAGCGGTCAGGACTATGTCGTAGTCAGCAGCACACACATTACACTGAGCCCAGTACGGCGTCCAGCACTCTGCCTGTAACACATATTATTGTTAATCAAGATTCAGATGGCATTTATCATTCTACCTGACACACCTTACTGTTTATAAAAATCAGAGGACATCCCCTACTTTACCTACAATATAACTTAATAACATTTTGATGGTGACCAGCACATACTGTACACTTCGCCCACCTTTGTCATCCAGTCCTCAGCTGAGTGCAGGGACCTGGTAGAGTCCAACACATACTGCACAAACTCATGAAAGGCTGGATAGCGGGGCAGTTTCTGCTTCTTTTTCTTCTTTCTATATCTTGCCACTATCATCTTCTGTAGTTTCTCAAAGTAATCTGAACAGGGCTTCCTTGTGGCTATTTTGTCCAGGTAAATGTAAAGAATCCTGAAAGAGTCCTTTATCTTGAATTATCTCTTTGATGGAGGAAGGGAAGACAGTGATTTATGGGGATTATATTGTCTAATCTAAGCTGTCTGTCTCAATGTCTCATGTTTCAAGGATAAAATTGTCTTACTGAAACGCTATTTCAGGATAAGCGTAAGTGAATATTATGCGTAACTAAGATTCTATACAGTATATACATACAGTATATTGTACAGTACTGTATAAACTCTATTACTTCACCTGGACAACCTAGGAATCAATAGCACTACCACTGAGCCTTTAAGAGCTTAAAAACAACTGGTCTTTTTGATTTAGCATTGAATACCATTTGTCTCTGAGAACAATGTTGGTCTCTCAAGAGGGTTACTGGTGACATTTCACAAGTACAAGTACAATAATAAGGTCAAGAGGGGACACACACACACATTAAAAGCATCAGCTACACATAATGGCACCAGGCATGAGGTAGTACCTTATCAGTGGGTCTCTCACTACCAAGACCCGAAGACCGCTGGTGAACACCCGGGTCCTCTCAGATGGGTCAACCTCTGTTACGTGAATCTTATTGAACAACTCCATCATCTGTGGTGTTAGTGATGCCTGTAGGTGAAAAACATATAAAAAATAATACCTAAACCACTGATGTTATACATATCAAATGCTTGGCTTCTTTGTCAAGGGTACTAATTTAAATATTTAACTGCATCGATTTAGGATTCACTATTCATCCGTATTATTTAAACTCCATTTAATATAATGTACTGTAGTGCTTAATGTTTGAGTTTCATAATTTGTTTACTCATACTAGGTGGTGTATAATATCAAGTCTTCCAATAATCAGTTCAATACATAATATATAAACTGTGAGATGACAGACTAAAAGAAATCCAATATCAAGTAAATGTTGAACTAGTGGTTTAGATGTACAGACGGGTCCGACTAATTACCCAAATGTAGCCGCAATGAAGGCAAATAATGGTCCTCCATGAATAAATCGGACTGCCAATCACTTCTGACTGGTATTTGGTGTCACGAAGTCACAAAAAATTGGAAAACGTAATTTAATCTGAGTTAATAGATCGCGTGCTTGTACCGAGGGAGCGAGTAATTACCCAAATGTACCCAAATGTAGCCGCAATGAACTCAAATGATGGTCCTACAAGAATAAATCGGACTGCCAATCACTTCTCGACTGGTATTTGGTGTCACGAAATCACAAAAAATTGGCAAACTTAATTTAATCTGAGTTAATAGATTGAGTGCATGTACCTAACCTAACCTAACCTCGACTAGTATTTGGTGTCATGAAGTCACAATAAATTGGTAAACTTAACTTAATCTGAGTTAATAGATCGAGTGCATGTACCTAACCTAACCTAACCTAACACAACTCAGTTTAAATTAAGTTTACCAATTTTTTGTGACTTCGTGACACCAAATACCAGTTGAGAAGTGATTGGCAGTCCGATTTATTCATGTAGGATCATTATTTGACTTCATTGCGGCTACATTTGGGTAATTAGTCGGACCCATGATATACTGTATCAGCTGAAGGCAACACTCAAAGAAAACAGAGCTGCAATTTTGTTTATCAAACGAAAATCTTCAAATAAATCTCCGAGCCAAGATACTGTACTTGTACTAGGACACTCACCCTATATATGGGACATAAGATGATGTTAGGATCGTGGTTGGTGTACCAGAGGAGGTGGAGGGGCCTGGAGGTTGCCAGCTGTGGGCGCGACTTGCACATCTTAGTTATTAAGTCTGTCCTCTTGATCATTATCTTCGTGTGATCCTGGAGGAACTCTCGGTCCTGTAAGAAAATAAGTAGGATGCAATTGTGGCATAAGGTTCAATCTCTGGGTCAAGTGAAGATTACGTACCTGATGATTTAACACCTTAACACTAATTTAACCAGACCCACCCAGGTAACATTAGTAATTAATCAAGAGAAATGAGCTGGGGTGTGTAATCTTCACGTGATCTTCATCTTTATGATAATGTCATGTGAAAATTACTATGTATGCCCCTGCTATATACAGTATATCTAGTATACTGTTTTATACTATACAACCCACAGTCTGTTTTGAAGATAGAGCTGAAGTCATACAACTGCAATAATTATTTACGAACTTTGCTATAATACCTTTGTATCATAATGCGTTTTCTCTGTCTTTCGCCAGACAAGGTACAGCCCATCTCCCTGAGAGAACTTGTGTGGGTTTTGATGTAGAGTACTGTACTGTAATTTACCAGCACGCGTGTTATTACTCAATTATTTTCCTTGCAGGCTGAAATGTGTGGCTTCATTCCATTATCCATCCGTTATAATGTTAATTCTTACTTCGTTGCCTTAAATTTTTAATAAACCTTTGATATATTTACCACCAGTACAGTATGTTTTAGCAGAGTTCCTTAACAAGACGTTACTGAAAGTTTTCCTTCTTTTTTTATCTCACGAGCATTTACCGGTACTTACTGTCTGTGACTGAAACTAATCACCTGTGCAGACTACCACCACTGCTAATACAGGTGGGCCTTACTAACCTTCTGCGTGTAATTGGAGAAGTTTAGGTTCTTCAGGAAGGATCCGTGTGAAGGCTGCATCACAGGGTGTCTCCAGGTCACTCCCTTCTCCTTCTTGCAACATTTATCCTCAAACATATAGTCAGAGCTCATCTCACTCTCACCACCTGCTTGTGTCTCCACCCCAGCATTCTTTTGCGCCTCCTTCAGCTCTTGTCTCTCTCCCTCGGCACTCTTTGGAATCTGCTTCAGGAGGAAAGTCTGTACCTCATTCAACGAGAGACCAACACTCGTAATACGCCCGCTATCATTGATCTGGATCTGTGTGCTCGTGTTTTGTGGCAGAGATCCTACTGTATAGTGGTGGTAGTACACGAAAAATGCCCCGGCGAGGATGGTGAAGGCCAGCACACGGAGGGTCTTGCTGTTGGCGTAGTACATGATGATATTCCTTCCTCTCTCACTCAATCCACCCCATCCCCCAGCACTCTTGCCTTCCTTCACTCTCATTTAAGCTAGCACTGATCTACTGCTGCAACCTGATCATGCATAACATAGTGTACAGTACTTCCCATCATAATTTCAGCCATACTCTTCTCTGTGTGTTTAATTCAGAACTGTGATATCACTGACATATAATACTCGATTTTTCAAGTCACACAGGTCCCTGGAACACTCTTATCCCGCCAAGCAGTAAATCATATGTGAAAACAGCACTTGTCAGTGATCTAGGCGGGCACGTATCACCAACACGTACACCCTGAACAGCAGCTCAACAACAACTAAAGTTGAAGGTGGAGCCTCCATAATGTAGGTGGAGCCATGGCCATTAGCCGGCGTAGCAGTTAAAAAAGTGGTCTCGGGGAAAATGAAGTGTTTGCCCAACATATCGTACGGCACTCCTGGCAGAACGCTCTGAGATTCCGTGGCGAGCAGAGCTGGTGCGTGGCGACTGGCAGTAGCAGTTTGAGTCGTACTTCTGGCACTTCAATTTTACCTAACACTTCACTTTTTACTGCTACACCGGACCCGTCCAGACAGTCCTTCTCCCCATCGGCCCTCCTACTCATCCACCTCCCCCCATTGGCCACTAGCACTCCTCCTCAAGTGTACCCCAGTCATCCCCTCCAATCCCAATCATCGTCTTGTATCCGAGACATCTTCACTTGACTTAAGCAAAGAGTGACAATGACGATGGAAATGCGGTATTCTGTGACCTTTTCCAGTGAATAGCTTTATATATATATATATATATATATATATATATATATATATATATATATATATATATATATATATATATATATATATATACTTGTTTCACTTCTACCTTTCCCTTATTTTTAAAACATTTTTCTCCACTAAAAGCTGCTCACTGTCTATAACACACTCTCCAAAGATACACTCTCAATATTGTTAACCTTTCCCTATAAACACCATCAAACGCAGTTTCTGGACAAGTTTTCTGTACATTTCTTTCCAAGGTAAAGTTGTAATCCAAATATACCTGTGTTTCATCAACCTTGTGATAAAATCCCCTATCTGTTCTAGTTTGAAAACGCGTAACCTTATTTCCCGTATAATTTCTAAAGCGATTTGTGACGAGTAATGAAAAACTCTGCACAAAATTGGTGTATATTTTATTATTTGTTAAAGATGTATGATATGAAAAATAACGAAAATTTTCAGGTCGCAGTACGATACTTCGAGTCACAACTCTCAAGGGCTGACACATAACATGGGGACGGGGTACGATATAGGGTAGGTTTGACATGGCCGTGGCAGATGTAAACAACAGTGGATTTGTCATGGCCTTATAACGCTTATGGTTCTACTAAACACTTGTAAGTATTCAGGGATTCCCAAGTTCGTGGTAATTAACTAAAAGGCACCACAACGTCTAATTATTGGTAATTATTCGTGAATTAACACAATGAATGATATGTAATATTTTCTTCCTGGGAGTATACAGTGAACCCCCATTTTCGAGGGAACAATGAACGCAGTTTTTGTTCGTTTCTTAAGTGAATGCTCTCAGGCCTCAGCGATTTATGGTAATCTTCGTAAATTAGGAGCAATTTCTTGGATTTGAACCACAGGAAGATGATAATGTTTCTTTTAACAATATGGTCACGTCATACTGTGTGTTATTTGAACCATGTGAACGATATGTGTAGCGCTAGTGTGTGTTAGAGGTATACTACCGTCTGGGAAGATATTGGAAGCATAATGTATTGTCTAATGATGGACCCTAATGCCATTTGGCATCACAAAAATTGTGATCAAGTCCCAGATTGCTGATCTGACTTTCTGCCTCATTTACACAATTGCAGGGTCTCAATTGTTTCTCTTACTATTGACAACACAACATACATATATTGTTTCTCACTATTGATCTATTTTTTAAATGTTTTTTATTGTTTATTTATTATTATTATTATTATTATATATTTTGTTTAATTTGTATTATTATTATTATTAATATTATTATTATTGTAAAAAAGGACAAAATATTTTATCACTATTAAACCTTTCTAAATATATTGACCTCATTCAACTACCAGCAGAGGACCGCTTGCGGGAAATATGTTCCATTTTATTTATTTATTTAACATTTGTGGCTGTGCTGAATATTTATTTATTTACTAATTTTTTACTGTGCTAAAGTTCCTCGCTTTTTTTTCAGGACTATAAATTTGATCTAAGTTCTCGTTGAAACACTATGGCTGAAGATATATCTATACACCACCAAAATACTGTACCCAGGCCCGTCCTTTAGGGGGGGCGACCTGACGGCTTCCTCCTAGGGACGGCCCTGACTGTACCTCCAAGTAAAGGTGGAAACGATGACCATTAGTAACTTTTCAGTTGGTAACCAAAACCAATTAAATTATTGAAACTAATGTAATCACAAAATCGCATATTAATGTTACGTTAATGAAAATAACAAAAATATTTTCCTATAGGAGTAACTGGCAACTCATCCTGGTATAATCGTAGACATGATCCCACTCCAGGACTGTTTTTTTCTGATGTTTTCGTTCTATCTTTTTTTTTCAACGAATTCCTTACTTCTTCACTGTAAAATCTACGATCACGTCATACATTATTATACACCCATTACAAAATTATACACGTGGTGATAGCCTGTAGACACGTAGATACAGTGGGATATGGGTACTTTTGAGAGACTGATGAAAGAAGAAAGATTTTGATGGCTTCCTGTCTCAAGGGGTCGTTGAACCACTTCACCGGCAGGTATGGCAGTGTCCGAGACTCTGGTGGTGTTTGGGGCTCCCTTCACCTGGTCCAGAGTCTCGGATGTAATATCCCCATTCAGCAGCTACAAGAGAAGATAACGGGTCTAATGGATCACCTGAAGATTAGACACCCCAGCTTTTGTTACCTGAGAATGTTAAGATGAGCTCAAGTTTTCAAAACATTTGTACTCGCTAAACTGGAGATGAGAGTACTCATCTAACTTCTAGCTCCCTTTACTTACAAGTTAACGCAAAAGATGGAGGTTTTACTATACTCAAGACTTAAAGAGACGCATTTGTGTGTGACTTGGTTTCTCTCGAGCCAAGACGCCTCCCACTACCATGCGCAGATAGCGTCTCTCTCCAGCGTCTGGTGACGCGTCTTCCTGGGAGAGAGGCATTGTGTACCAGGAACAGCAATGTGACCTAATTCCCCCACCTCCCCACTCCCCCGCCCCGCCCCGCCCCAAGGGAGGAAGATGACCTAGCCTGCCTACAACTAACTCTCAAGCACTGGTTTTTGTGATGTGTATAAGAATCCGGTTGGAGGACAGTGGCCGGGAGGGAAGCGGGCGATGAGAGAGAGTTGATTACTATAATTTGTGGCTGATTTAATTGTATTATTGGGAATGGTAGTGGTGATGTGGGGTGACGGTGGTAATGGTGGTGGTGATGGTATTAATGGCGGTAGTGATGGTGGTGGTGTCTTGTAGTGATGGTGCCTTGTAGTGATAGTGGTAGGGTGTGTGGAAGAATGAAGATGGATAGGTATTAGAGGTGTGTGTGTGTGTAGACGAAACTACTTTACAACAAACCTTAAAATACTCCTGAAGGCGGTTACACGCAGTCCTCATTATGAAAATTCACTTCATTATCTGTACCTAACCTAACCAGCGAAGGTTATCAACCACAACGCAGAGAGAGAGAGAGAGAGCCTTCAGGTCAAATGGGATGTAACACACACACACCACGTTAGTACCCGGCACGATCATACTCTCTCCATCCCTACCGTGTGTGTGTTTGTGTGTGTGCGCGCGCGATCATACTCCTCGTTTTGTGTGTGTGTCGTGTCGAGTTGTGTCACTTCCTGATCTACAGCTTCTACTCCCCTCCTCCCGCCCCCTAAACGACAGGTTCCCTCCAGCCACCCCTCCTCCTTCCCTCCACTCACCCACCTTCACGACCCCTCCTCCTTCCCTCCACTCACCCACCTAATATCAATCTATGTATCCATATCATCCATCTATCTATGCATGAAAGTACCTATCCCAGCCCCCTCCCCCTATGCACAGTTATGACCTATGTGGGTTACTGTTCAACGCACTAACAATGACTTCAGCAACTTGTGAAATCCAACTGGCTTAGAAGTACACAGTCCCGCTAGACACAAAGGAGGGGGGGGGGGCGTGACAGAGAAGCGTCCTTTGTTCGTCGGAAACCTGAATTTGCGCGCGGTTGATAGGCTTCACCTCTCAACTTAAAAGACAGATACAGTTGAAAGATAAATACATATACAGACGGGATGAAGAGTTAAGAAGCTACTTGTTATATCAATAAATTACATACTGAATATCGACTGATTTTTATGTCAGCAACAAATTCAGGCGAAAAATAGTTGATTATTTTAAAATGTAAACATGGTATGAGAGAATGCAAATACAATACCACCCTCCCTTTCAAGCCCTCTTCCCTCCCAGTTCTCTCACCCCCCTTCCCCTGTTCTCCCATGCCTTATCATCCTATCCAGCCCACCCAGACCCCTTCCCATCACTCCCCCATCGTTTTCAGTCCACCCAACCATTCTCACCCTACCCAGTCCCTTCTCAGCCCACTCAGACCCTTCCCAGCCCCCATTGTTTTCAGCCCATCCACCCTTTCCCACCCCACCCAGTCCCCTTCCCAGCCCACCCAACCCTCCCATACCCTTTTCACATCCGCATTCCTGGAGCATGTGTGTGTTGACTCACTCCAACTGTACCATAATACTCCTTTTCCTCCATCACCTGCCCACTCCATCATCCCCATCCTACCATGCCGAAACCCACTCCGTTACCCCCACCTCACTCCATCACCACCACCTCACTCCATCACCACCACCTCACCCATCACCACCACCTCCTCCATCACCCCACCTCATCACCCCACCTCACTCCATCACCACCACCTCACTTCATCACCACCACCCTCACTCCATCACCCCACCTCACTTCATCACCCCACCACTTCATCACCCCACCTCACTTCATCACCCCACCTCACTCCATCACCACCACCTCACCACCACCTCATCACCACCACCTCACCCATCACCACCACCTCACTCCATCACCACTACCTCACTTCATCACCCCACCTCACTCCATCATCACCACCTCACCCATCACCACCACCTCACCCATCACCACCACCTCACTTCATCACCCCATCTCACTCCATCACCACCACCTCACTCCATCATCACCCCCACCCTACTCCAACACCCCCACCCAACCTCTCCACCTTACTTAGTCCCCAGTCATTATATCCACCCACCAATACAAAAAAACAGGTTTGACTCAGGTTCACTTAAGGCTACTCACCTCACCATCTAGTACGTGAAAAAAAAACACCTAAAATGAAACACACACACACACACACACATACATACACATACATAACGGATCACTACTTAATTCTTGTTGAAATCTCCCAAGACACTTCTTTTTTTCCTTAGATTTCAGTTTTATGGATGATTTAATAGTGAAATATTATTTATTGGGCATGTACAATATGTATGTATGAATGTGTGTAGTTATAAATATTGTGATCATGTGTGTGTGCATATTTCTCTCACACACACTGATGTACAGATGAGCTTAATCTGTTTTGTGTATGATATCTTAGTAAAAAACTGCGATCCACCAATTTCGGAATGGTGTTGCACGTACGAGTTATGCATACTTGTATTTTTTCTTCATATTTTCTTAGCTCCATTCTCCTACTCATGTCCCTCCCCCACCTCCTACTCTTATCCCTCCCCCACCTCCTACTCTTATCCCTCCCCCACCTCCTACTCTTATCCCTCCCCCATTTCCCTTACCTCTCCCTCCACTTACTCATATCCCTCCTCCTAGTCAAGTTCCTCCCTCACCTCTCCTTCCTATACTGTACTGTACTCTATTTATCATATACATTATACAATACTGTATTAATATTTAAAACTTATTCAATAAAATACAGTAATATGTACAGTATGTATCTAATCTTGGACATTTTATATTGTATTTGTGAAAGAACAGAAATACAGTCAAATCCCTTCCCATTGCAATTTATTATGTATGTTATATCCTGTACCTTCTATCCCATCCCACTTAAGTTGTAGATTAATTCTCAAATTTCCTTTTTAGAGGTGCAGTGCTCAAGGTGGCGACAGTCTGGAAGGTCAACATGGAATTGACCTTTTTTACCTCACGAAGTCAAGTTAGTGATCAAGCTAGTGTGACTTATAAATGTTGTCAGTAAGGTATTAGTATATTTATGAAGCTTATTTTCTGGTTAGCAATAGTGGTTTGTTTTATTGAGATAAGAGTACCGCCACAAACACTACCACCATAACCATCCACTCACCACCCTACAGACACCATTTATCCTATACAGTACTACAGTCTAACTTACCTTGACTTGTCTATGTGGTGATGTAACATGACCAACACTGGGATGGTGTGTGTGTGTGGGGGGGGGTTCACTTGTACCTGTAACTGCTGCAGACCTCCAGTGGTGATCAGCCAAATGTCCTTTTATTTCTTGAAAACTGACAAGTGAATGTATCCAGTTATGGTAGTCTCTGTGTAATTCTGATATTTTGGTTGTGCTCTGTTACTGAAGGCAAACTGGTGCTCCTATATATTCAATGGAATGTTCATTGTACAAACCTTTCTGAATTGGATCCCTGGTCCTGTGTATCCTCATTTAGCAGATTTAGGGTAATTTTTCAGGTCTAGTAGACTTCAAAAGGTTATTGCTGCAGTGTGGTATTCTGGTCTGGTCATATTTGCCTAATGTCCACTATGCATTATTTTCCTATAGGGGAAAAAACAACTGTACAGTACCTTGAAAAAGTTTTTGTATTTTTAGTACTGTACTGTATTGAAGCATATTTCACATGAAGACAATTTCTGGTGCAGCAGCACAAAATGAAAAAGTCAAACACACAGCTCTGGTCAGCTTACCTGGTTGTCTCCTGTCTTATGATCAGTAGAATAATGACACAATCAGAGATGTCCCCTAAGAAATTGCCAGGGGTTTAGTGGCAGAGTGGATACAACGCTCTACTTTCCCCCCAGGTATATGCCTGGGGTATCCCCAGTCCACTCAGCTGTGAATGGGTAACTAACTTTACAGCAGGGGAAATAAAGGTGCCTGAGTGCATTGCCTCCTTGTGTACCGAAAAAAAGCTCTAGGCTATAGTATGGTGTATGTGCACTGCTCCTAACAGGTTGTAAGGACTATGGAATCCACTTTAAAAAAAAATGCCATAATGCACATGGTAGCAATCTATGAATAAGCAGCCCACCTGGTCTTTATTGTACTAATATAACCACAGTTTCCTCACCCTTGCACTAACCAGCACTGTACAGTACTTTTGGTTTTACCACATTCACTCCCAGGCCCTGTCTGTGCTTTCCTTCCATTTCTTAAACTTCACCACTACCTCTTCAATACAATACTATCTACTATGTCATCAACAGCACCATGATAAACAGATGAGCCTCCGCTTCCTCACCATTTACTCTCATGGCAGTTTTTTATTCCTCCTGTAATGCCATAACCACTCGAACAAGACACTCCTCGACCCCTAGCTTTGTCATTGCCTACTTTACTACTTCACATTATACCCTGTCAAATACCTCATCTAAGTCTACAAATACAAAGGACAAGTTTCTGTCCTTCCCTTGATGTTTATCATGTAGTTGCCTGGCCAGAAATATTGACTCTTCAGTTCCCTTACCAGGCATGAAAACAAATTGCATTTCATTTATGCCCACTCTCTCCCTCATCAATTTCTCAATCACTCTTTCCCCAAGTTTTATAACCTGAACTAACAGATTCTGGCCCCTGAGAAGAAAAAAATAAATAAATGGAAACTTGAAAACATCAACCAAAACATTTACACAGTAAATACACACAATGTATTACACCACAAAAATACAGTATACAATAAGAGGACATGATATTTGAAGGAAATTCATAAATCACATTAAGCATTTATTTGAAAACTTGATAAGTGACCACAATGTTTGGAGCTACTTTGTCTTGAGTTAAGCTCAAGGACTGGAAACAGGGTTGAGGATAGTTCTCTCTCCCACTTCCCATGCCAGCCTAAGTCAAGACCAAATCAAAAGAATGAAAGATAACAACTGTTGGCCAGAGAGTAATCTAGGAATAGGTGCTAAGGCATTATCATATTTTTTTCATCCACTTATGACCATGAGGGAAACAAACAGAGCGAGAGGTGATTCCTGCTATAAGTTGGGTAACTATATGCTCTTTGTCTACCTAAATCATATTGAGACCCTATTCAAGACTTGAAATCATCAATCTCGCCACTAATTTTGTGGGTGTGTTAAATGAATTTTAGTGGAAATATCATAGCTATCTTACATTCAACATGCCCATAACTGGATGTTTCATAAGCCACAATAGTAACATTCTACCAGTCTAAGAGCCTGAATATTAAAATGATTATATAGCTTCTATTGAAACCTTGGTCTCCTATTTCATCCCGTGGCTACAGATTTAGTTATAATACATGACATGTCTTCAGCAGTAAGTATTCTTAATAATAATAATAATCAGTGTCATACTAGGATGAAACACGCCACATCACAAGGGGAACGTCACTTAACCTAAAACACCTTGACAGCTCAAATAGGGTGTGTGCACCTTTACAAATGTGTGATCATTCGTGGACATCTTTCAAAAAATCACTTTCATGGAAATTATACATTATAATCTGATTACAGCTGGATTTGACTTTTCTTTGACAACACTATCATTTTGTTACAATAAAAGGCCATAAACATTAAAATTTCTCATTCATAACATTAAAAAAATTAAGATTTTATTCCTCTCACAGTATCGGTCCTGACTAGATCCTTTGACAACCGATATGTCACTAGCTGCTGCTGCTACTTCACTGTCCTTTCAATGAGTTTTCTAATCTTTCTCTAAGACAGTGTTCTCCAGTTGAGACAAAATGTAAGGTGGACTATATATATGTAAGGGAAAAGCCATCAATTAATGTGACTGAAGAACTTATCAATGATGAACATGAAAATATATGAGACCTCTCAATAAAATCCTTGATGGAAATGTCGGAGGGCTGGAGGAAAAGGTAATGGTCTTGCCGATGAGGGTGGAGTAGTGTTGGTGATGGCAGTTTTAATGGTAGGCAGGAAGGCAGGTGGACAGATAAGGAGGACTGAGAGGATTTAAAAGTTTTCTCCTCTTCCCATAAGAATTCCTTCTCAAAGTCCTCCTTAGTATTCTTCATACACATCTTCCTTTACTTCCCCATCCTCTACTTGCGTCCTTCTGATGATCCTGAGAGTGAAGACATTATATTTAAGTAAATTTGAACCTGGACTTGCAAAGAACACAGAACGAAACTTACAATATATAATGTGCATGCTTGTGACAATTATCTCCATAACAATCAGGATCTCATGATAACATTGGCACATTGAAGACAATACCTTAAACATATTCTTATACAAAAATAGTAAATTTCACCATGGTCATTATTTATTAATTTAAACAATAAGTGGTATGAAATCTTCCTCTTCTAAACTCTAATATTGTGTTCTGTATAATCTTGGGAGAGCTTACTTACTCTACTGCAGAATCTAGACAATCTAAAAGTCTGAAATTGTACAATGAAGCCTGAGAGAAAGAGTCTACTTTTAATCTAACTATGGTATTCAGTTACATTTCTATATTATAGGTAATGAAATTCTCAAATCATGCTTTTCAATTTGTCTCCTGCCAGAGCTGGGGATAAAATATTTGCCTTTTTAATTCACCCATCTAATCATGCTAACCTGGTCATAATGTTTTAATTTAAGAGTTGTAACTCCTTCAAACTATCCTGCTGCCAGACCATATCAGAAGATAAATATATGTAAGTCTATTTAAATTCTGGTATAAAAGTATTGTACTCTTCATTCATTACTCTAAGTTTCCATCCATCTGTTACATTCTGATTTCTACAAATGATGTGTAAAAGGCCAACTCCATTATAATTTTTTGAAGTTGGAACTTTCCATAAAATGAATAACAACTTTTAATTTCACTGTGCAGCATAATTCAGGTATGGACACCTATTTAAAATAGAAACGTCCCTCAAATCTTTCTGTAAGTTAGTGCAATGGCAGCAGAGAGACACCTCAGTCATTCATCTTGAGGCTTAAAGTAATTAACACGATGGGTAAAGTTGCAGGTCAAAATTTTCTTTCAACGACTTTATATATACACTGTATATATATATATGGTGTTGTGAGTAGCAAAATTTCCAGTTGGGGAAGTGAAATTGGTTAACTGTAATGCCAGCCACATTTTTTCCTAATACTGTATACCATATTTTTCAATTACTTTCTGAACACATAGTTACACGTGTTTGTTTTGGTTTAAAATTTCTGGGGGCGTTAATATGTGGTTTTTATATCAGAACTGAAACCTGTGGTGGGTTAAGTACTGTACTTAGAAAAGTTCTCTTCCTATGGAGTTGTCCTTTAAGCTTACAATCACTCAAACTCAGATCATAGTTCAATCACAAGGAAGGACATCTCTGGATGTCCATACAGGAGGTTCAATGTATTGTGCACCTCCCTTAGTCTATGACAATAAAAAAGAAAAAAAACTTCAAGTTTTATATTTGTTACACCTTTGAATGTTTGGTCAATACTTTATGCATCACATAGAGCCTTTAGGTTTTCCACCTCACTGCCCCTCAGCACAGGAGACAAAAGTATTTGGAATTTTTGTAACTCACAGTAAAGGAATTTGATTTTGGTGTAACAAAGATTTGGCCAAAAGTTATTAGTGGAGAGAAATTTAACTCTCAAGGTATGTCCCTTGAGAGCTGCAAAAAGGTTAATTTTTTTTTAAAAACCTGAAGGATAGCACTCGCCTCCTGACCCAATGGTCGCCAGTTTGAGTTCTGTGGCTGTCAACTTGGGCTGCCCCCAGTTGACTTAGCTGCAGAATAGTTACCTAACTTTATGGCTGGGGACATGAAAGGCAGTAAAACAGTAGTGGCCATGCTGTCTCCTTATATACTGAAGGTTTAATCTTTAGTGTACAAGTACTGTACCCACACTGCCCCTGTCAACACTAGGATACCCACTTTTCACACTAATAATTCTTTCACACGAAATTATTAGAGGAACTTCTGCCATTCATACATTCTAAGTTAAGCTTCTTCAGATAATCAAATATGTTCAACTGTTCTGTGTCAGGTCAGTGCCAATTACTTCTTAAAAAAAAAACAAAAAAAAACATGATGGATGGATTGATTTACATTAGGACAGCTTACAGCAGAAAAATTTAGTCTAGGGTTACTGAGAAAAGTGCTGTCACTCTGTACAGTACTTTTTGTTTTATGTCCCTTAACAATAAATATCAATACTATTCTCAATTTCTAGACATCACCATTCATGCAATCTGAATCTAATTTGATGTCTAGAATGGTGATAACCTTCAGTATGTCCAGAACTTGTTCATTGTCATAAGAATATTTTTATTGAGAACTCCAATAACTTTCAATGGATGACAATCAACCTTCAAGCAAAATATATTAAAAAAAATGAAAACTAAACTTAGCCTACAGTGGCAGTGGGCCAAAATGTGTCACAAACTTGCTTGTATCTAAGGTGCTCATGCAGCTAAAATACACAGGTTAATGAAATACCACAAATGGGCACGACACTCTGGTTGTATAGATACCACACAAAAGTGAATATTTTTTAAAGATCGAGAGACAAGTCAAATAATACAATAAAAAAAAAACTTAGTTGACTGCATGAGGCCAGAATGAATAGTTTTAACGGGAAGTAATTTTCAATGGTGGAAGTGAATAAGGAACAAGACAATACAAAGAGAAGAAATATTAGAGGAGACAAAAGTAAATGGAGACAAGAACTTTCTAAAAGGAATACAAAAAATCACTATTAACAGGAGAAAACTTGGTATAGATAGAAAACTGTAAAAATGATGGTTTGATCCTGAAGACCCACATTACCACTGAGCAAATGAGGACTGATTTGTATTTAAAACCAGTGAGCCTAAACTATGGTAGCTTTAAGTGTGAGAGGTCGAACCTGACATCATCAAAAATGGAAACTAATGAGCCACAAGTTACATAGCTCCATCAGGTACCACCAAGTTAAAGATATTATGGCATATACAGTAATACCTGCAGAATGATGTAAAGCTGGATGGAAATTTCCTCTTACACTATACTGTACATCACCAAGAACTGTGTACAGTAATCGAGTCCAAAACTCAGTGCTAACATGAGACCAGGTGCTTAGTTTCTTTACACAGAGAAAAGTAGTTATTAGAGGAGTATAGTCCTAACTCAGTGTTAATTGGTGCTGTAAACCAACTACATTATCACTGGGTCAGTCAAGTGAGGAACAGACAATACAATAAGTCATGTCTTATGACTCGTTAGATCCCGGACTTGGTGGCAGCGTACAGTTGGCTGATTTCTAGAGTACTGTATGTCTAAGCCACCTTAGTTTAGGGTTCTCTGGGTTCAGAGCTACAGGCTTGGGTGAGCTTTATACACAAGTCATTCCAAATGGCATTAAATATTCATGTGAATATTCATAAAATATGTAACAACTGGTTATGAAATGTAATCAATCTATCTTATGTTTGTCCTTTAAGTCTCAATTAAAATTTCATCAATATAATTTCATTATAATTATTTTTTTTGCATGCCTTTCACGTAACAGTAACAACAACTATGCGCTGCCCAGCCTTTATAAGGTATAATCAGTATGGTTCTCCCAATTTGCATAAAGAAATTTTGTGATTTCTTCAACATCTGCCTTGCATTCATTTGATTCCTCCCATGTGAAGTTATATAACCTAAGTTGATCACATATTTTCTGTATACACATGACAATTAATGTACATACCATTTGAAGGTAAAATCAGTCAGGAGCTTCACTTAGTATATACTGTACAGTACTGTATAATCTACAGTTACCATCTTTAAATGAAAAGTTAAAAGTCAAATGATTTCTTTACAAGTCGGTTCCATAACCTTTGAAGTGTTTGAGATAAATTAATGGAAATTCACACATTGGTGTACGTGAAACAGGTCCATACTTCTTGGGTCAAAGTCACCAATACAGTACAGGTCAAATGTCCAATCCTGGTTTTTACTTAATGGTTATCATGACAAAGGTTATTGTCTTGAAGCATCTTGTCAGTGTCTCTCCATCTATCCATTATTTGTTTTCTTAATTCCTCCTAAAAAATGAAAATTGATCCTAAGAATCCATATACTTTCTGAATCCTAATCCTAGTTGTTCATATATTTTCCTCTTGAAGGTGATGTCCATTACAGACTCCTTTAAATTTGGAGATGGCGAGTGTGAATAAGGAACATCTTCCCACACAAGAACGGTTAACTTAGAATATAGCATTTATACTGTATGTGAGAGCCACCTAACCAAGTCACAGCATATGACATCTTACATTTGATCAGTACTGTACCTACATTATACTGAGGCCTGTCATATAGTGGACACCACAGATACTCTTTATACCATAGTGATCCCTAGTACATGAAGAAAAACTACCTCAGTAACAAAGATAAATATTTTAATCTTACTCAATGAAACTAAATACTAAAAAGACTCTTAATCTTTAACAATAAACTTAGTACTGTACTGTACTAGCCTAATCTTCCCGAGTGCATAAGTGCATAATACAGGTAGCAGTGGATGGGACTTTACCTGGTGGTATGGGTTGTGGTGGTGGTAGTTAGAGGGTCAGGATCATACCTGGTGATATGAGTAGCAATAATGGGGTCACTACCATCACTGGTATAACTTTCCATCACACTGCTCATCTCTTCGACGTCTAAACCTACAGAAGGGAGATTACATAGGATGACTACAGGGGTAAGGTATTCAGACAGGACAGTGCAGGGGTATGGAGGGAGACATTCACTTTGTAGCGTAAAATACAGATGCAGGTTGGTCAAGTAAAGGGGGGCAAGGGTTAGCAAGACCAAGTTAATAACAGTTTGGTGAGTCTTCCATGTGTTGAGATGTAAAAGACCTGATGTTGGAGATGGTTCACTTGTTAAGATAAGAGTAATGTCATTTAAACCCTATGACTGTACTGTAGGTGATGGAAGGATTCTGTATGCATTTAGCGAGTAGCACAGTGTTTATTTACAGTGCTCAAGTATTTTAAAATAATACTTGCGTGTTCAGATATCAAATGTGAGCTAACATTTGAAAAAGGCCATTTTGTCAGACTAGCAAAAATGGAAAAAAATATGGATATTTTAAATGCAAGGCAATGAACATTGAAGGCATGTCTTCTTGCAGCAAAGGTTAAGAGGGTAATTTAAAAACCTCATTATTTGCTACTAATATAATGGCAAGATGCATGCAGTGTGGGAAGACAAATTCTTACAGTAGAATCTCTTAGATCAGGTTCCTTGAAAATTCAAATTAAATGCCATGTTTTCTTACCAATTAATTCATCAGCTGTACAGCATTAGCTATACAGTACTGACCACAATACAATACAGTATTCTCAAACCTTGCCAATGGGAGATGTAACCTTCCCAAAATCATGTAAATTTCAAAGATATGGGAATTCAATTTTATGTCATGTGTATATTTGAAAAAATTAAGTTTTTAATGCTTATGTTACTTAATAAATTAACCGATATACTGTACAGTATATATACTTTTGAAGTTTTAAGACAGAACCATGTCCATGAATGGGGTACGGTAGTTATGTTTGCTGATGGTGATGCTTCAGCTACCATATCAACAACTGTGAAGCACAAGACAATTTTAAATACTTGATCTGGTAATCATGTCTCTGAGAGGCTTAGGAATACACATTTTCCTGCAAACTAAAAATTATGTTATAAAAATTAGACTAAGTTGTGTACATCTGTCAACTTGATAATTTCATGTTTTTATTTTTATTTTTTGCAAGATTTCTACTGTAACAAGACAATACAGTACAGTACAATAGCTACTGGTGTGTTGTGCTCCTCAGCAGTTAAAGTGTTGAGTGGTGCGCAGTGATATAACAATAGCGTGTGACTAAAATGTTTAAATACAAACACTAAAATGTGAAAAATAAATAAAGAAATAAATAAAAACTTGTGGCTGAAGAGTTCATGATGCATATGTAGAAATATGTGAAGGTGGAGACAAAATGGAGTGCAGACCACACAAAATGCTATGGCGTAAATTACTATAAACATAAAATTCTGAGAGAACACAGATAAAGTTGGTAAAGTATCCTTGTGGAGTGGCAGGTGTCTCCCGGTAAAGCTCCTAACAGGGCATTACCCGTGGAAACAGGTGAACGAGGCTCATGGGGGTTAAGGAGCTACAGACTGCACTTCACAAATGAGGGACATTCACTTTCTCACTGTAAACTACTTTCAAAGAACACTTGTATCATTGTCTGTAACATTAATACTTCACATGAGTGATAAACTTATGAATAGTACAAAGTGTACTAAAACAAATGTAACCAAAAGTACTGGATACAAAGTGTACAGACACTTGTATCCTGTTTACTTATCTGAATACCAGCACCCAAATTATCAGTACAAAGTAAGTCACTAAAACATAAAAGGTAACACAAACATAATAACATTAACAACATCTCATTGCCCTAACTCCCAGCATGCACTTAAGTCCAACTATTGTTTACAAAAAATTACTGTCAATGGAACTAGTAAAAAGGTGATTAAAAAAGAAACATGCCATTATCTATCGTTGAATCTCGCACTATTAAAAAAAAATACAGTACAGGTAAAAATATTCATAAAGTACTGTATATAGTTATGCAATCTAAACGGAACCATACGACACCATGATTAGTAAAAGTAAAACCAAAAACAAAACAAAAAAACGCGGGCACCATCTAACGTTGTCTCTCACATTCTGCACTTTTATGGAACCCGAAATTTTATGAGACTGTTCTTAAAATTCACAACACATTATCAATTGGTGTGTGCAGAATTATCTTGGTACTGTATGTCACAAATGTTTCTGTGCCCGCGTTCAGTACTGTTAAGGAGTAATGGAGGAGAAATGTAACCATTAACATGTTCTTTAAGGCATGTGGTTCATGCATGTCTCTTCATAATAAAAGTTAAATCAATACTTTATATTGGTAACATTCCTCCTCTGGAGCTGCCCTGTGAGTGGGTTACCCACCACCATATTAGTGGCCCACTTTCTGCAGGTAGGGAACTCCATGACTACATTGGTTTTATCACAACAAAGGCACCAGGAGAACAGTAGTTAACCGCCACCATGTTATACAAGAGGTGGGTCCCTCTAGCTTGTGAGTCACAGCTAGTAGCAGCCTTGTCACATGACTGACAGGCTCACCCACCCTGGTTTTTTACACAACAGGGAAAGTTCCCCTCCTGGTGCCACTCATGCAAAGGGTAAGAACACCATTTCCATAACTTCCAAATGAGTAGTAGTAGTAATACAAAACAACACCAAAGATGTGAAATGGAGACAACCAGGGCACGAGCAGAAATGCAAAAGCACACAAAGATTTATAACCTGGCGCCTGCTGCGCCCCCGCTCCACTGTCCGGCTGCACAACGTCTGGTGAGCGAGGCAGAGAGAGAGACTCGTTAGTCAAGCGCTGGACCGCATCGCCAACTCAACAGTGTAGCAAATTACCGACTTCTCATACAGTAAGGGACACTCTCAATAGCAATATATACACAATGATGCAAGGGAAATAAATTATGATATACTTAAGCCCCACTGATCTACAAGAGAAGATCATATACGTACATCTTCAATATGCTTGCAGATGAAAGGAAATCAAATAAATGAAGGTTCTAGATGATAAAATACTGCAGTTGATAAACATAAAACTAATAATTACAGATGGTAACAAAATGAGTACTAAGGACTGATGGTTGGCGTGACGTCATGCGGACACAGCATGCTGAAAGAGAACTAAGGCTGGAGGAGTGCAGAGTGCGGAGACACACCCAGCGGGCGGTGCAACACAGTGACGCTTGGGACGCTGTACCTGATACTGTGTTGGGCTCCAGGGAGGGGGGGACGGGCTCACGGGGGCCGCGCGACCCAGGGGGCGGACCAGGAGGGGGGGGCCGGGAGGCCAGAGGAGGACTGGTCACAGGTCTAGGTATACGGGAGAAGGGACTGCTTGAGGAGGAGGAGGAAGAGGAGACTGGGCCAGGCTGTACTATAGGCTCTCCTGTGTCAAGATCAACTTCTATTGTTTGACTGGTAACAACAGTCCGCCGAATAACTCTCGTCACATTACCGTGCTCATCACGTGTTTCTGTTTCTGTTTCTTCAGTGCTAGGTTCAGAGAGAGAGAATCCATGTTCTTCAGTTCGGCTGGGATCTGCTACAACACGTGTTTGAGTCACACGGCGTATGTGGACATTGCCTTGGTCATCTACAACCTCATCTTGAGAGGAATGTTGACCTGCATTAAAATCCTGTATGTAATCTTCAAGCTTACTTTGAGCATCAGGACCTGTAAAAGTAACATGGTGAGCCTCTGGTGGCAATCTAACAACACGTGTAATAGAATGAGAGAAGCCCGGCTCACTGGTTCCTGCCACCATTTCAGCTGCTGAGCCACTACTGGCATGCATGTACTTAACATAGTGTTCTTCACCTTCCCTGGGTAATTCTCCTTCAGGAAGGTACATGGAAGAAGTCATCACATCTGGAAATTCATCTGTTGAGGCAAGTAGTGTGTTAGAGCAACCACTGGTAAATGAACCCGACATAATAGAGTCAGTGTCATACTGGTAGAAGGCATGTGTAGCCTGGGATGATGATGGTTCTAGGGAATCTGTACTGCACTCCATTAAACCATCTTTTGGGAGTGGTCTCACTTGCTCGCTCCCTGAGCTGATGTCGGCATCACGACCACTAGAATCGTCTCTGCCTAAACTATCCACGCTAGTTGTCATTAAGTCGCGTCGACATGGATCAATTGAATCGGTGGAAGCAGACATGGGATCTTGGCGCTTCCGGCGGCCCTCTAGAGAATCAGTACTTGCAGTCATGGGATCTTGTCGGCTAGTTAAATCAATGCTATCTACACTTGTTGCCATTGGGTCTGAAGAACGTGTTTGTACCTTTTCTAAAGAATCTTGACTCGTTTCACGAGGCACCTTGTTCTTTTTGGCTAACGCTTCAATACTATCGGTACTCGCTGTCATAACATCTAGTTTGGCTGATAAAGCAATGGCTGCATCAGGATTATCCATATCAAGTTCTGGTAACTGAGCCTCTTCTAGGGAATCGGCATCTCCATCTTCGCGTCCTACACTTGGAGTACGGTCAGCTTGACTGCTGCCCGTGCCATCATCTCCTGAACCATCAACGCTAACAATATCTTGTAGTTGTACCCCAGCATATCCAGGCTTGTTTTTGTCAAATTTCTCTACATTACTCTGTGCTAGACGAATAATTTCGTCAATCTCAAACATTCTCTGATCAAATTCTTCTCCTTCAACAGACCCTCTTCCTGCTTCAGACAAAGTTTCACAACTCTCAGATTCTGAAACTTGGCTTTCATGTCCCTCCTCAATTTCAGATAACATGGCCTCCTCCTCTTGTGCCTTTTTCTCAATCTGTTCGACCACTATACACTCCTTCTCTAAACGCTCAAACTCTTGAAGAGAAGCAAATGACCCAACTGAGATGTCATCACCCTGTCCACTCTTACTTTCTGGTTTTTTGCCATTAAGCGATTCCTGTGAACCGGAACTAGACCTTCTTGCCACAGCTTCTACGGCAACTTCCCTTTCAAGATTTTCAAATTCCTGAAGAGAACTCATAGATATATCATCGTGTTCTCCACTACGAGTAAAAAATTTTCTACCAGCTAAAACATCGTACTCTGGGGTTGAGGATAATGAGGAAGTTTTAGTAATGTGCGAAAGATCTCTACGTTCTGCATCTTCCCGTTCTTCTTCAATATCCTCAAGTGGCCCTGAATAAACATGCTCTAGGAAACCACCCTGGGGATAATCAAAATTCGCTGCATCACTTTCTTCAAACTGCAACTCTAACCATCGTCTCTGTTCCTCAATAGTTGGGTCAGCTCCTACTGTGGAAACTTCTTCTGGATCGTGTGTTTGAGAATCAATACTACCCTGCCTCTTAGTTTCTACTTTAACAGCTTTTAACTGACTAGGAATGGCAATGGGTGAAGTATTAATTCTCTGGTCCTCCTCAACTTCTTCCTCCTCCTCTTCCCTAATTTGTGACATTTCTAACATACGTTCTTCATGCATACAAAGAGTCCTTTCATATTCAGAAAAATCATCAATGTCACCGGCTTCTATCATTTCAAAAGACTCGAACGGTAGTCCTCGAGCCACATCATCAAGACAATACTCTCTGCCTTGTTCAGAATCAGTTGAGGAAGACTTTCGTGAGGGACCAGTGGACGCAGACTCTTGAGACCCAGGAGTTGCAGGAACTTCCTGAGCACTTGCTTCTGCTAATGCTCGGCACTCAGGAAAATCTTCCTCTCGTTCCAAGTCTGGGTAGCAATACTGACTTGGCATGGGCAGTGTATGTTCTGTGACGGTTATATCTGGAACATCTACACTCATACCAGGGATTAATGAACGAGCACCTTCTTCTCTCTCTTCATAAGTAGTAGAAAATACAGCACTAAATCTCTTGTCTACTTCAGTAAATTCCTCAGGTTCATCTGGAGACTGGATGATCATTTGTGTGGGACGGGATGAGGGAACATACCCAGGCTCTGGTGTCCTGGGTCTCTCTAAAGGTTCATCAATGACTAGCATGCTACTCATTTCTGCCTCTGGTTGTTCTTCCAGAGAGTACTGAAGCTCTGCTTCAGCCATCTCTGAGTATTCACTTTCTCGCATCATCTGACCATACTCTTGGTCAGCTTCTGTTTCATAGCATTCTTCCACAATAGTAACTTTCTGTGGGCCCTCTGAAGGGCCAGCTACAGCTCCTGCTACCTCCTGCGCTGGAGGCATTGTAGGGGCTATACCTGGCCGCGCACCTCGTACTTCCTCATCGTCGTACTCAGGCACATAATCTACTTCAGTGGGTCCATTAGCGTGAAAAAACTGCTCGCTCTCGGTTAAATCTACCTGTGAGCGTGTCTCAGAGGTCACTTGTGTACACATGGAGGCTGTGCTTTGATCCGGAGTAGAAGAAGGAACAGCTGTTGCTGTGATTGTAACAGAATGTAATGCCATATCACCATCTCCTGTCTCTGTGGTTAAGACTCCACTGTCGGTACGAGAAATCTGACGTTCAGATTCCTGACCTTCAATTGATGAAACCATATGTTCGGAAACACTAGACGTGGTCATGATAGAATCAGTGGTAGTGGAACCTTGCATACTTTTATCTTGTTCTATTACAGTGGCCATGGACACCTCTGATAATGTGCTTTCCTCTAAACTAGAAGCTATGCTCTCAACGACGGTGGGTTTTTTATCGTCGGTGAGGGACTTGGGTTCAGGATGAAAGGTCATTTCTATCGATCTCTTCATCCTGGATGTAACGTGAGTTTCTCTTTCTTCATCTTTAGCTTCCTGGTCAAACTCACCATCGTCTGACTCCAAATCAAATGGACACGGCATATCCTCAGATTTTGGTGTTTCAGACTGAATAGTTAACTGTGGGATAATGGTGTGATGAGATTGTTGGGCAGTGTGTGAGAGGTCTTCTTCCATCAACTCCTGTTCCAAGAGGTCCATATCTTTTTCAAGTTCCACTGCAGAAGGTACAAGAGTTTCTGAAGCTTCACTAAGCTCCACACTAGCAAGGTTTCCTGAGCTCTCCGAATCAATAGATTTCATAGAGTCTCTCGAGCTCATGGAACTTGCAGCTGTGCGGTAATCTCGTGATGAATTTGAATAGCTCGAGTACTGAGATGTATCCTGGGAAGTAAGAGCAGTGTCATACTCTGATGTGCCTGTGCGTTCTGACATCAGCGCTTCAACATCTGACGAACATGGTCGACTTCCCGCTCGGCTGTCTGAGGTCCCTTCAGCAGCTGTAAAATAGTGACTTTCCCCAGAACTCGAGTAAGCGTCGAAATCTGTTCCTGATCGACGATTAAACTCCTCAACATGACTTTTTTTCCTCATCACGACCACTTCATGAACAGTAACAGACCTTTCCTCTTCTGTCTTTTCTCTTTCCACTTCTCTGGACTCCCTTATAACAGAGGTAGCAGCTTCTGGTCTCATCTTAGCCTCGACAAAAGACCGAACGCTTTCAACAGTGCTCGATTCTTCCATACTTTCTGTCATACTAGACTCCATGTGGACTTCTTTATGGGACTCGCTGCTCTTCTGATGCATCATTTTCGCGACTTGAGGTTCACTATCTTTGGTATCTACATCAAATACGTCTTGCTGGTCTGAAGTCATTTCCTCCTTAAACATTTTTTTCTTGTCTTCGTAATCTCTTCGAAATTCTCGTCTCAGTTCTTCGTCGTCCATCCAGGAACCCTTTCTGGAGCCCGGTTTAGACCCCGATTTTGGACTGGGTGTTCGGCTTTGTTCCTGGATTCCAGTTGCCTGCCTGAGCTCAGTGGCTAATGATGCCTGCTTTACTGCCTCAGACTCCTTAGCCTTCTCAGTTACTTCTTTCACCAGTTGGCGTGCAGTCTCCTTAACTTCACTCTGACTCAACTTTATCAACTCTTTTGTATCAGAAAAATCAATGTCTCTTTTAACTTCTACTTTTGCAGTACTAACAACTGTCTCAGGTACCTCTCTGATGGTTTCTATTGATCTTTCTGTTTTATTGATATCTGCAGTTTTGAGAGCGTCTAATGTTTTTGATATCATTTGATTTGCTTGATCATATTCACTGGATATAATATCATCTACGGTCTCGTGGATGATAATGGAACTCTCGCTCTCATCTGCTTCTGAGGGTTCTCGAGGAAACCGCTGAATGTCTTCTTCTTCAGTCATCTGGCGTAAGCGTTCCATCTGGTGTTCAATTGGTGACAGTTCTGCACCACTTGAGCGGAGATCTTCGTCTGTTATTTCCATGCTTTGTTGGTACTCGCGACCCACCATTTTTTTTTGTAATATCTCTGTTTTTCTGGCAGTTACAGACTCAATAAGCTTAAGTTGTTTTTCATCCAAGTCATCTCCTAATTGCTCTTGAATGTATTTTCCAATCTTTGTGGTAGTTTCTTCTGTAAATGCAGATTCAGGTACTGGCTTAGGCAATGGGGCTTGTGCACCTTCATCTTGTAACGCAGCTGAAAAATCTTTCACAGTCTGTGAAGGAGTGACAAGAGGTGAGCGTTTCACAGCTTCTGCTTTCACTTCTTCTACAATTTCAATAGCAAGTTTTCTAGCTTCCTCTTCACTTAATTTTGCTTTTGTTGATGCAGTGGATGGCTTGGCAGGAGTCTTCTCCATTTTTTTATGACCATCTACCGAAATGTCTTTTACATGATGAGATTCAACAGGCTGTTGAAGGGGAATATCTTGCACCGTCTCCGACATTATTGTCTCTGACCTTTCCTGTGAAACTTCCCAAACAATATCTTCCACAGTTTCTTTTGGCACCAAAATAGGGCTCGTCAAAGGTTGAGCAACAACCTGTGCTTGCAAAGAAACAGGAGCTTTAGTATCCTTGGGTGTCAGTACTTTGCGCTCTGGACTTTGGTCTTCAGCAGAAGAAGACAACTCTTGAGAGAAAATGTCAGACTTCATACGCTGTTCAAAAAAAGCTTCTGATTTCTCTTTTGCAGTTTTGGTACTATAAATATGCTTCTCCTCTGGCAAACTTTCTGTTGGTTCTTCTGCTACTTGTTCTGCAAATATTTTGGTTTTAGTTTTAGAGAGATCACCTAAGTCATCATGTTCCTTTGAGTCCAGTTGTGTGGTAAAGGTTGTGATAGAAGTGGTCTTGACGGTAGAGCCATCAGACATTGCAGTTTCTTGGGTCTTTGTTTCCTTGATGACTCGCTGCTCTTGGCCCCCATCTCTTGTGGTGGTTGTTTCTCTTACGACTGTCTCGTGAGTGTCCCCGACCTGTCGAGATTCCTCAGTTATATTGATGGTCGTCTTATCGCGGGTGATTATGTCGTCTGGCTCTTCTTCCTCCGAGGTCTCTTCAGTCCTGGTCATGTCCTCCTCTGTTATTTCATCGCGGGAGATGTCTTGGTCCTCGGTAGATATTGTCTGAACTATTTCCTTCGCCTCCGATGAGCTTTCCGTCTTTTCCTCGGACTTCGATATAGTTTTTGAAAAAGTTCCACTTTGACTGTCTTTCCTTTCATGAATTACCTTTTCTGCTTTCTCTGTGCTTTCCTTTTCCTTTTTTTCTGTAGAAGCATCTGTTTGTGTAATAGATTTCTTACCTGAAGCGCTTACTTCTGACATCACTGTTTTCTCTTTAGTTTCCATTTTCTCGTGATGCAGTTTGGATGACTCTACAATTTCAGAATGATCTTCCCTGCTGCTAGTTTTATCTGTCTTAGACTTGGTTTCTGTCTTCTTTCTGTCAGTTTGAGACATGTCATCTTTTTTAGTTTCCAATTTTTCCTTTATTGTTTCTTTATCTTTTTCCATAGTCTCTTTCACTTGATGTTCACTTTCTTCTCGTTTCTTTAGCACACTGGACGCAGATTCTTCAGTTATCACGACCGTTTCGTCGTATTCCTTTGATGATCGTTTCCATGATTGACTTTCTTCAAATTCCATTGACTGTCTTTTAATCTCTTTTTCAAAAAGTGCCCTTTTGGACGACACATCTTTAAGTGCAATATCTTCTGGGGATGGCAGGTCTTCCACCGAGTCCTCAGGGCGAAGAACCTCAAATGGGCTGATGGCTCTTTCTTTACCCACCTCTTTGGGCACGTCAATTTTCTCTGTCCCCGCAAATCCTGCATTTTCGTAAAAAGCCGGGTCATCTCTCTGACGAATATATTCTGCCTCCGAGTCAGAGCTCTCTGTTGCACTCACCTTTTTTGTCTGTATAATTTTTTGCTCTACAATAGTACCATCAGTTCCTGTTGTGTCTGTGTCACTTTCAGCTTCACTCTTAATTAACTGACTAGTTTTAGATTCAGATGAATGAGCTGTAACACTCTCCCAAAACTGTTTTCTTTCAGAATAGGGTTTAATATTTTCAGTTATGCCAGCACTTTCCTCACTTATTGGTGGCTTTTCCTCTTTTCTTGGTTCAGGTTTAGGTTCTGTGGGAATAGCCCCGGTAAATATATTACTGGCTTGTGAGAAAGTGCGTTCATGTCTTCTAGTCGGTCTGCTTGGAGCAGGACTTTCATCAAGGGAGCGCTGACCTTTCTCTAATGTCATTGGTGCTGTGCTCGGGACTTTTTGCTGGGAAGAGGTGGAGGATGAGGACTGGATGCTCTGGGAAGGATGAGGACTGGGTGAGGGTGAAATGTGCGAATGTCCGCCTGTCGTCTCTGCAGATGGCTTCACCCTGCCCCCATACTCTTTATGTTCTGTAAACACCACTCCCACATCTAGAACAAGAGTTAGTAGCACACTATTAGTAAACGTCACACACACACTTGTTATGGCACAGGTCTCACTCATGCCACATGCTGTCAGGTGAACCTGACTCCACACATTTCAAGTGTGATGGGAACTTATGATCTTCAAGGGAACCCACCAGTCTTACCACACTCACTCTCCGTACACTCAGCGTGCATATTATACAAGGTCTACACAACCAAAATACCTACTACTTACCAACTGTCCTACATTTGTTTGTGCCTGGCTACTGTGACCTACACTGAACATGAAAAATGTTCATAGATGAGGAAATGGTGTTGACTGTACCCCAAAACTCTGCCTGGCATACTCTGATGATAAAGTTCATCACTGAATAACAGGCCGTCTGACCAATGCCAGGTCACTAACAAATGCCACGTTAATCCAAAAGACAAGAAGAAATTTATTATTTTTTTTTTTTTTACAAAATCAGCAGGAGGACTTATTAATGCCCCCATCTCATGATTTCATTACATATTGTGACACACAAACGGTGACGTGAGCAAATGACGTCCCTGGACCCAACACAAGCTACTACACAACAAAATACATGCCGTCACTGTTATCTGAAAGAAATCAATGTATGTTAATTTTCATACAACCTGAAGTGGCAAAACATAACAAAGCCATGAACTTTTTAAATTACTATGACAAATCAAGACACACTGAAAACTGTTAGTGTCGTAACTCAAGCAATCTAATTATTGCTGATGGTTAGTTGTTCAACACAATACAAAGGCTGCAGCTACATCACCAAAATACCTGCTGTGCCAAACTCTTCTGAGCTGGAATGCAAAATGCCCTCATAATCAGAGGACAAACCTTGTACAGGGGACTCAGTGCCTGAAGAGGCAGGAGAAGCCATTATATTGAGGGTGGTGGATTGCAACTGTCCCTCCTGCACAGCTTCATGCACTGCCTCTTCTAGGATTGCTGCTGACAAGAGGTCAGCCTCATGAACAATTCTATCATCAGCCTTTTGGGCCTTCATGTACAGGTTTTCAAAACTGGAGCACATGTCAGGAGGGAGTTGTGTCTTAGTAGTAAAGGGATCTCCAAGAGAATTGGCTAGTTGTAATGTAGGTGGAGCATCCTCACTTTCTGCAGCTTTGAGGTCTGCTCCATCATATAAATTCTCATAACTTGATGAAGATTTGACAAGTTTACGATGATTTCGCCTTGCATCACGATCCATCTCCTCTGCCTCATTATCCTCAAACTCATTACTTTCAGCCAGACTCTCTGGTGATGTTAGGTCTCTCAAATCTGTCACATCCATCTGCAAGTGACCCTGGCGTCCCATTTCCTCAAGTACTTCCTGCTGTTGCCGGAAATACTGCTGTGCCTCTGGGGAGGAACTTACAACCTCTGGCTGCAACAAGCACAGAGGAAAGGTGGTGGGACGTGGCCCACTCCTGCTCGACTCACGACGAACTACAACACTGTCAACTTCATCATGAGTTGGTTTACTGCTGTTTTCATTGCCATGGGTAATAAAAGTGCTTACTGAGCTGTCAGGTTCACAAGTCTTGTCACACTTATTAAACTTAATGAGCTCATCATCGCTTTTATCACTCATGGTTGATAAGGAACCAAAAGACTTTTCATATTCAGAATCTGTCCTCACCTCAGAGACAAGACCAACTGTTTCACCTGTTTTCACACATTCATCATGAACCTTAGAGTCCCCATCAGTCTGTTGTGTTTCATCACAAACCACTTCATCTGTCACTGACTGGACAGCCTGTTGGCTAGATGTACCACCCTCAGCTGTGAAATAACAATACCCAAACCGGTTCAGCTTAATAATTACATACACTATCAATCACATATGTTTGTATAGTTGAAACAGCTTTTGTAAGCACTTATATGTACAAATAGATCTATTTCTAAAATTATAGTTGGGTAAGGATGATACTGTCAGTATGATGGATGATGGCCTATATAAGAAGAACCACAAGCGAGTTCCATACCTGGTTCCCGTTGTGTGGCCTGTAAAGCATCAGGAGGTTTGGAGGGGTAAACATTAGAAGAGACAGGAGAAGATAGAACATCAGAAGGAGCAGCAGTGCTGGTGACTTTTGGTGAAATTTCAACAACCAGATCAGTTTTTGGAGACAAGCTAAGATCTGCAGCAAGTCGGTCAAAATCATCCTCAAGGCTGTCACGATTTAGTTCCTCTGAGTCTAAAAGATCTGAAAAGCTTTGATCACGAAGGTTTGTGTCAGAAGGGCTACCATCATAGGCTGAACCAGTTTCAACTACAGTAGAATCAGTTCTTTTCGCTGTTATTTTTTCGTCTCTGCTCCGAAAGTCAGCGTACTCTGGGTCAGACAAGCGGAGTGTTTGCATCATTTCTGCTACTGTTTCAGATATGGAACTGATACTAGAAAGAATGTCCTGGGCCATATTATTAAACTCTGGGTTATTTTCAATTTTACTATCTCCTACGGCTTCTCTAATATCCTCCATTGTATTTAGTATCATTTCAACTTCTGATCTAGCTGCAATTGGGTCTATTTGAGACTTTACCTGCTCCTGTAGTCTGTTTACCTTATTCTGAATTTCTTTGATTTCTTCTGCCAAATAAGCAATGCTATCATCCTTAGTTTCAAAATGAAGTGATTCCTTAAGGTCTGATTTTCCATCAGTACCATCTTTGTCATCACCAAATTCCAGGTTAGAGGCAGAGGCATCCCGTTCTGTGTGCGAGTCTCTCATCTCCATAGGTGTTGTAATATCAGTATCCTCTGTAGCCTCTACGGAAAATATTCTTTCACTGAGTTCTGGCCCTAACACTGGAGAAGCTGGGAAGAGGTCATCATCCAGGTCAGGAGCCTCGTCTTCAGTTCTAGTGTCGAGTATATCTTGTTCAAAACGCACACTGTCAGGGGAAATCTCGGTACTCGTACGATCAATTTCAGCGTGGTCTTCGCTAGAGTTTTCTGTGGGCGAGATCGGCCCTAGAGACATAAAAGCACTGCTGGTGTTGAAGGTCACACTTGCAGCAGCTATTTCATCAGTTCCAGTTATTGGAGCAACACTTTCGGATTGCAAGGAAGCAAATGAAGGAGACGCTACAAGTTGGCTGGTAGTAGCTTCAGCACCATTAACATAGCCCTTCTCTAGGAAAAGGTGATCTGATAATTTAGTTGCAGATGATGGTGATGTGTCAAAGCCCTGAAGTTCAAAAGAATGAGAATCATGCAGATGAGAAGGTTCCAGGTTTAAGTAGGTTTGAGAAGGCTGCTGGGTAAGGTCTTGGAAGGTTTGAGCTTGGGGCTGGATGTTGGATGGGTGGGGCAGGTCCGTACAAAGAGAGGCAGTTGACAGTGGAGGGGCAGCAGGGGGGAGGGTAGAGGAGGAAAAGGAGGTTGGGGCAACACCCTCGCTGGTGTCCACTTCAGGGAGCATGGAGAGTTTAGCCTGCACCACAGTTTCAGTATACATGCTGTCTACACTTTTCCCCTCCCAGTCCATGCCTTGTGCTTCAGGACAACCACCATGAAGGCCACCGTCTGAAACACATGAGGGAAGAAGGTCTGTAATGCCTGAAGATTAAAGCATCATCAACAGGTGCAAGCCTTTCACTTTTGCCATAGCCTCCGTTTCATTATATCAGAGCTAGGCTAATGGTGTGTAGCAATGCCATCCAAATTATTTATTTGGTTAGTCTGTCAAATACATTCCTCAGAGTTTTAGTTGGATTAAGTATGTAAGTCACACATAAAAAGATTGCTAAGAAGCAGCACAAGTACTAGAGCAGCAAGCTAAAAGCCTGCCTTACCTCGCACTTGGGCCATGAGATCAAACTCGTCCTGTGTAGGCTCAGTGTATGATGAATCTGTGGATGATTGTTGTGGCCGAACAAACCTGGGGCTGGGAGAATGGACATCTGGGGATGCTCTTTGCAGAGTGTACACTCGGTCACCCATGGATGTTAATTGGCCACATTCAAGAGTGGGGGACTGCACAACTCCGCCAAAGCCGGACAGATTTTTATCTTCACATTCCACAAACTCACGAATACTTCTGATTTCAATAGATTCTTTGCCTACTTCAGTGGTTTTGACTAGAAGTTTAATTTCTGCCTTAATTGCTCTTGGTTCATCTGTGTCCTCAGCCTGGATCTCCTCATCCTCCCAACGTGGAGAATCTCGCATTAGCATTAGCTGTTCTTCCCCTTCATCACTGGATAAGTGACTCCCCTCTAAACCCTCAGCGACTGCTGTAATACTCTCCAAAGTAGATGCCATAGTTGATGCAACATCTGCAACACGTTTTGTTAGCTCACCTAAGTGTTGTCCCGTGTCTGTAGCTTTACCTGCTGCACTTGCAGTTACATTAGCTGAGGAAACTACTGGAGTTTTAACAGGTATAATGGGTTTTTCAGCAGTTACATAAGATTTAGTTAATTTTTGTATCTTCAATGATTTATCAACATTTTGAGCATCACCATCTGATTTAAGAGATTTTGCCTCAGCTTGCATTTCGGCTAGAGCTTGGGCAAATACCATCTCCTCAACTTCGGCCTCCTGGGCAACCATCATACTTTCCAGTACTGCCAGATCTGCTTCAGTTAGATTACTCTTGCCGTGAGCTAGGGGGAGAGACAACCAAGTGTGTGAGCAGCTGGAGCATCCAATAGCAGCAATTATGCCACATTTGTTAAGGCACACTGGGATGTGTTGAGGGTGAGTAGGATTTCGTATTAGTAGTGGGTAAGCGAAGGTATGGCTTGACGCTCTTGTGTCCGCCTGCCGTACCATGCCGCGGCGTCATGCCAGAGCAACTGAGTCATAACAATAACCAAAAATAAGAAAATATTTTAAGTTTCCAGCAGTCGTAACATATCCAACCAAAAGTAATCCAAACAAATGACAGGCAGTCAGTTGTGAGAGTAAAAAACAGCACCTCACTACTGGAGTGACTGTGACAGACATCCACTGGGGTGGGGAGAATAGCCTAAGTGACTGTGGGATCTTGATAAAGGTTGAGGACATAGATACAGGACACAGAGTGAGAGAATGGATAGGATAAGACCTCAAGGTGACAGACAGCTTGAGACAGAAAAAAGGTGAATGAGGGCCATGCATGAGAGCAAGATGTCTAGATACCTGAGCCTGCCTTGGTGCCTGAAGGAGGTTGGCCGGAGGAGGCTAGAAGGAAAATAGGACCATTGTTAGAGTCCTGCAGAATGTCTACCATATACAGCCAGCCTACTGCCCTTTCTTCTTGCCAAGGGAAAGAAGATGACAATTACCAATGGGTTTCTTCTCGCCGTATGAAGAGCACAAAGGAGGGGGAAATTTTCAAGACATAGATGTTATCAGTGGCATTCAGGAACTCCCTTGTGGATCTTCCGCACAATGAACAAGTGGTTAAAACTACTCTCTAATTCTATATAAAAAAAAGGGGATTACAAAACAGTGGTCACATATAATGAGTCCATTTACATACGTACTATGAAATGCACATACTGTATCCTACTGTGAATGATATAAAACAATGAAAACTTTCTAGGTGAAAATACCTGTATGATGAAAAAAATTCACAAAAAACAACCAACTTAATTTAAATTTTAATACATAAACAGCAACACCTCGTTTATTTCTATTATACAAAATGTCTTAATAAACCTGTACAAAAATAAATAATAAAAAAAAAAGATAAAGAAAGAAAAGAGCTATTAGTCCAACAACAATAAAGTCTTGGCCAGAAAACATTTTACTTTGAACAAATACAATACTTGTTCTTCAGTAAATGTTACTGAGAGATTCAAATATGACTGATAGGTGATGATAATGGTGGCATCATATTTGACAAAAGAACCAAGGGTGTTAAGAACAAGGCAACAGTGATCCTGCACAATCGAGATACTACAAGATGGTGTAACGATCATATACAAGAATGTGATACTGTAACAGGTCCTGGCAGGCTTAAAGGTCAACTCCAGTACTTTTTTTTTAACCTTACATTTGATAATTTCAATATAAATGCATTCAATTTAAGAGTAAATCTAAGGAACACTTTTGGTGCCCTCCCCTCCCCTCTCTCCCTCTCCCATTGAGTAACCACATGGTAATACTGTACTCTCAACCTTCTGCGGTGAGTACGACATCACAGGAGAAGATCCTCATTAATTCACACTTATTCTTATATTAAAGTTGCTTCATAATAGTTACAGGTCAAATTTTGTTTTTCAACACCTTCATACAATACATTACAGATCTATATGGAGGTTAAGACATTACATAGAGTATTACAATTTTATAATAATAAGATCAAGAATTTAACACAGTACAGTACAGTACTGTATTAACCTTCAGTATTCTCTGCTCTCCACAGCTTGAAGGTAACAAACCACACCAACCTCCACAATCCTCAAGCCTGACTCACCCAGGCTACCATGAATTCTCTTATTCTAAACTTAGGTTTATACAAAAAATAGTGAATTACTTACTAAAGTATAATGTTATGTAGTAACATTATCTAACAGCAGTAAGGGGGACAGCAGAGACCCTGATCCCCCAGTGAGCAGCAAGTATTACAAGAGCTGCCTGGCTTAAGGGCATAAGCTAGAAAAATTAAATTTTGAAAACGTGGTCACGTCGTCTATGATCCTTTAGGAAAATTAACAACATCGAGCTTGAAACTGATGGTATAACTTAGAAAAGTCATTTTCTGGAGTTGTTCTTTAAATGTTTGGAAATAGGGGGAACAAATCACTTATGGGAGTGATCTTGTTGGTGTTGCTTTGGTTAGCAATATGCTGTGTTGTCCTGGTAAAGTACAGTTCATACCAGTAGAAAAGAGGTCAGAGTCAAAAGTTTGGTGTATATAAAGTAATCATGATGGTGAATAATGGTGAAATTTGTTAAATGTAGCTAGTGGTATTTAAGGCAGCTGCAGAGATGATGATAATAGCAGTAGTGGTGGCAATAATGGTGCAGTAGTGGTGGCAGTAGAAGGATCAGTGGGAATGGTTGAAGAGGTGCTGGTGATGATGCTGTTGGTGGTGGTGGTGATGCTATTGTTGGTGGTGGTGCTGTTGTTGGGGGTGGTGCTGCTGTTGCTGGTGTTGGTTATACTATACTATAGTTGTAATGTACAGTACTGATAGTGCTGCTGCTGTTGGTGTTATCATTACCTTTTTTGTCATCAATGGTGAGGTTATGTTACTGATTACAGGAGGTGGCACTGCTGATGTTCTTGTCATTATTGGTGCTGATGTTGTAAACAATTTACAGTACACCTCTGGGTGCTGGGTTTGAACAGAGGCCACCATGGAGAGCAGTCAGACATGTAGTCCACTGGACCATGATAGGCTTTAAAAGCTGCCCCACCTTAACTACGAACTTGAAGTTCAAGGTTCTCTGCCCAACACCGTGGGCCTCAGAGGGTTGGGGTAGCCCGCCCATACCCGGGTCCCAAACAGCTTTTAATCACTCACAACCCAATGATGTTGTTGATATACCAGAACCTGTAAGCTAATATACAAAAGTAAATCAATGTAAACACTTTACATCTCTAAGGTGTAAATTATTTACATTGATTTACTTGTATATATTACAGGTTCTGATATAGAGTATAAGGTGGTGGTGGTGTTTTCATCCCTCCAGCTGAAGAGGATATACCACAATGTTTGGTATGTGTCTCTGTACTAAAATATTGGCATAATCAACACTAACACCAGTTTATAATGGAGTTTCATAAAGTCTGGTTCAAGTGATGAAAGTGTATGAACAAAGATAGTCTCTCTCTCCAGAGGGGCCATGTGTGCATCCTTCCCACATACTGTACTGGGCGTCCACTGTTTATAAATGAACTCCTTCCCTAAGTGGATTGGTTTATAATCTTATAACTTATTAGAGACACAGTGAAGATGTGTTTGTGGTGATTGGAGGTTATTTGGTAATTTTCTAATTGGCAAAATTACCATCTGTGTTTTGAACTTAATCTTGTCTTCAATCAAGAGTTTGTAATATTAACTTATGCATCAACTTTAAAAAAATTATCATATCTCTTTATGTAATGATGTATATGTACAGTACAGGAGGTTGTGATGATTTATGGTACAGCACTTGCCACTGGTAATGGTACTGATGTATTGCCTGTTTTTATCTGATAGAGGCAGTCATCTTAGAATACAGGTAATTGTGTTTCTGATATTGTTAGTGTCGGTAAAAGATATGTTTGCAGGTACACCCATTTTCTGTTTGATAGTGGTGCAACTGTCCTTGTTATTGTCAGTGGGGATGGTGACAATATTGGTGGACGTCCAGTATCGTTGCAAATGGGAGAAATCACTGGAAATGGTAGTGTAGACAGTGGCAGTGAAGGTGATGTAGTGGTGGTGGTTATTGCTCGTATCTGTAGTAATGGTAGAGTTTGTAATGGTAATGGAAATGGGAGTTATGACAATGATGCTGACAGTAGTAGTAATAAGTGGAAATAATTTGTAATGGTGATGGTAATATTAATAGAAGTAGTAATGTTAAAGAGGAGGAGGAGGAGGATGGAACTGGGTTATGATGAAGAGGATTTCTGTAGTTATGAAGTTGTATAAAGAATAATGGCTGTGGTAGAATGTGTGGCATCAGAAGTAGTGGTTGTGATAGTAGGGACAATTTTAGTAATACTGGTAATGCTAAAAGTGGCAATTAGTTTATTACTTACAATAGTATTATTATTGTTAGTGTTTCAGCAATTAGATAATGAGAGAATTAGTAGTGGTAATTAGTTTTAAGAGCTTGTTTCTGTCCATGCAGTCAGTTACCTAGGAGGGTTATGTGTGGTCACCTTCCTCCCTGTAACTGATCTCTATAAAGTATTAAGGCATTGGTGTGCACTACTGATAACAAAAATGGTGAAAGTGATGATGACTGAAAAAATTCTTGATAGTATAAAACCTTGATAATGACAATCACAATAACCATAATGATGTAGGTATTGTGGTGATGGTGGTGTTGGTAGTGATGATGGTACTTGGTGTCGATGGTGTTGTGTGTCGAGGTATCGGTATTGACACTGCATGTACAGTATAAATATTACATTAATGGTACTTGTAGTGTCACTTATATTAATGACATCAGTGATGCAATTATTGCACTGACGGTTGTGCTATTCGTACAGGTTGGCGGAGGTCTCAAGTCAAACGTGGTAGTACTGTGGTGGTACTAGTGGCACTGGTAATTCTGGTGGTCAAGCTGGTGTTTGTGCTGTGGTTTTGAAAGTTTTTAATAATAGTCAGATAACAGTGGTATCGATAGTGATATTTGGTGACAGGGTTGTGGTTGCACTGGTAATCTAATATTGAAGGTATTAGTAATAAAATATGAGGGCACATCAGGAAGTCTAGCACTGTAACAAACTTGAGGTACAAATATGGTCGGCTGACAAGACTGTGTCGGTGGCATCATTTACCTTGTTCGTGGGAGAGTGGTGGTGTCTGTTGCTCAGCAAGCTGGCCTGCCTCATGGGTCCCTAATAAAAAATTATAAGGAATCATCAATAGCTGTATATGTCAGACATGTAAATTTGCTCATCAATAATGGATTAAAAGGTAAGTCTGTCTGAAACGGTTTACTACAGTCCTCAGTAGGTGAATTTGGTTCAGAGATGACAACAATATGAATTTTAAAATAAAGGAATACTTTTGAGGTATTCTAATAAAATCAAAATAGCATAACAAAAATAGTTTAAAATAAGAGATAAATCTGTTTAAATAAGGGAATGACATACAGCATACAAACTTAAAATGTCTGAACTACTACACTGTGTCTGAGAGCTACACCATGAAGCACTATGGAGTACTCAACATACAATACCATCCAACTATCTTGCACAGCCATGTAATACCATCAATAGTTAAGGAGTTGTATGTGCTATAATCAAATGTCATCTAGAAAACCATGGTATCATACACTGAATTGATAACATAAAACAGAAGCAGTCCTTTTTAATTCTGTTCAGTCCAGATCATATTCCATCATAGGAGATAAAATAAATATTTAATTTTACCGAAAAAATAACAAAATACTTAGGCAATAATATGCTTGAGCACCAGATGTCAGCCAACATGCTACTAAGAATTTAAACAAAAAAAATCTGACACCTATAAAAGTGCTGTGGTGTGGCCAACGGGAGAAGATAAAAACAAGTGAGTGCTGTGAGCAGATGTCTCTGTCCGAGAATCTGACAATTAGCCATCTGCAATGTAATGCTTGGTCTTGGTTATATCCAAGAGTTACTGTATGACTAAAAAAAATTTAATTGTTCACATTACTACAAATTGTCTTGAACTGCTGCATGGGAAACTGTACTATTTAAATTGATAATATTGATTATAGGTTGGTCTTCTCTGTGAATGTCTAACTAACATCATTCAAGTATTGCTAAACTAAACAGCTAAGACATGCTCTAGTGGATGGGATCAATGAAAGCACTTGTTCTCTCAAACATTATAGCTAGGCACTTATTGCTCCAAGCTTCACGATTCAAATCCTCATTACCTGGCGGAAGGAAAAAACCTTTGTAGAAGAAGGATTCTATTCCTTGGCGTTTACCAAAGATACTAGGAGCTGACAGAAGAAAGGGAAAAGAAAAATTGTGTCTATGAAGGTAAACAAACACTGCAGTTAATACAATACTACTAACACCACCTCATTAAAAAATCAAATCTCATCAACTCTACATACTGAAGCATTTGCTAGTATGAATTAATGTTCACTGTTGACCTTGAAGGACATCATAATAAATAAACATCATAAAAATCTGTCTTAAACACTTAATGATAAAGCTACAGGTTATTAGGTCTAAGCTAACACCCAAGGACAGACATAAAGCATGAAAGCATGGCTAGTCTATGAATCTGGCAGGGTAGACTTACTGTACTGTACTGTACTCTGGTAATTATAAACTACAATGTAAAACCGTAGCTTCCACCGATTTTCTTTTCATTCCAAATAACAAAACAAATATACAGGTTCTTTTTGCTATGCATTATTTTGTCATTACCTAATCAGCTTACCCCAAAGCTTTCTTCACATCATGCGTCTCATCTGATATGTACTGTATAGTATTGAGAAGTTAGTTTTGCCGCATACTGGATTTCTACTTTTAGTCATACCAGCACAATCTATTTGGGAGTACTGCCTTAATCTATTGATTTAAAGCCCCACTGATATTTTGTTTTCTAAACATTCCATATCTAAATCTATTGTCAAATACCTTGTGTATCTTCCCGGTAATAAGCACTTGATATCTATGAACCATAAACCATCACCCAGAAGTAACTACAGCTCATTTGCCAAACAATCAAGGGAAATTGTTCACCTTCAGGGTTCGGGACACGTGCTAGGGGAGGATCCTCTTCCTGAGCCTCTCTGGAGGCTTTTGTAATGGAAAGAGATTCCATCACCCGAGGAACAAACCCAGCCATTAGAGGACTCTCCATGGATTCCTGATTATGTACTACGTGCTGTACCTCTTGTACTGCATCAGTGTGTTCCGGCTGCATCTGTGGCTCACACAGGGGTTTGACGGTAGCCACTCGACGAGGGTGTGAGGGGCTTCTGCTAGCGGGGGATTGTCCCCTGTGTAATCTCGGTCTGTGAGTATTTATTTTATCTTTCCGACCTACCCTAACCTCAAACTTCTGAATAATATCACAAACACTTGCAACCTCCTCAACCACATTACCTTCGTGTGTATTTTCTCTATGTTCCGTCTTTTTGAGAGTCTGACTAACATTACCTTCCACAGTTTTCTTATTTTCACCTTCACCTAATTTCCTACCTTCATTTTCTAAAGTCCTCCTAGCAGGTTTTTTTTCCTCAAAGGGAGGCAACACCTTCCGCCCCAGTGCAGGAGATGCTGGGAGGGACCTACGCTTCTCTTCTTCAACAATTTCCTCCCATTGTTCAATCAATCCTTTAACCCCAACAAAGTCTTTGACTATTTCCTGACTGTCTTTAATGCCATCATTTAATGATCTGCTTGTGGATGATTTTGCTTGGTCTTTTACTTGTCTATACACCCTAGGCAAAGTATGGCGCCAATGTACTGGGACAGCTGGGGCGGGATTAATAATTACCATTGTAGTATCATTATTTAGATCATGAATTGATTTCTGTATAAAATCATTATTACAACCTTGAGAACAAGTGGGCAACATGGTAGTCTTAAGTAGTTGTCCATAATTACAGGTGGGAGAAAAGTCATCATGATATGAATAATTACGAGTACAGAGTGCCGCGCTCTCCTCTAGACCCAAGACACTATCAGCAAGACTAACAGTATCGCTTTCATCTCCCTCCCCTGTTAACTTATCATTTGCACTGTCAAGAGATGGAGTAAAACTTCCTGAATTCTGATAGGCATGAACCCCCGAGTCATCTTCAAAAGGAATTGGGATTCTTGGGTCGTCATTTAAGATTTCAGTGAGATTTTGTTTTCGTGCTTCAGCAGAGGCACTCATGCACGTTACAAGTGAGTCAACATCACAATTAGGTAAAGAGATACTCTGACGCATTACGGGACGTTCTCGTGTTTGTGGAATGTATCTGTCCAAAAACCCAGAAAGTGGTCTTCCATCAATTTCCAGCCCTTGTTCCTCGATACACCTAGCAGATGCACTTCTCATGTTTTCTCTATTATGCTTCTCTTTATGTTTATTAAACTCTCCATGAATACCACCCGTCAGGCTCAACCACTCTCTACTGAATTTCTTTATATTTTCAGCCAGGCATTCCTGTACAGAAATTGTGGCAGGACTTTCTATATTATTGTCCCGCTCGTCGGTAAATTTTTTTATGCTATCACCATCTACAGAAAGGTCTTTATCAAATCCCAGTGAATTGCTTTTCATGTGTTCTGTTGGTACATCCAAACACTGAGTCTTATGTTCCCCGCTAGATTTTGTGGTCAATTCTTCTTGGCCTGGTTTTGGTGGTGTTTTTACAATATCTGATGTAAGATGTGTAAATGAGCCAGCAGAGTCTTGAGTCATTATTTGGGGTTTCTCCTCTTTTCCATTACTGATGGATTCCGTTATCTTGGTTGTTATACTATTGGAGACTGATCCTCCGGAGCTCACACACTGAGGGGGAGCTTGTTTTATGCACATACTTGTGCTGTCAGGTAACAAATCTTCCAAAATTTTTCCTTTTATAATTTCCTCCACATGAAAATTGCTGTCAGTCTCAAAATAATCTAAATTTGAATTCTTTCTTTCTGAAATCTGTACTTCAACACTCTGTGGAGTTACTACTGGAGATGAGCTGTGAACTGGGGTACATGTCCCACTAGTCCATGATGGAGAGTCACAGTTCATTTTCTCTAGTTCATCACTACAAGTTATATCTGGTTGTGGACTTGAACACCATGAATCATTTACATTAGTATCTGAACTAAAGGAGAGCCCAGAGCATAATGAATCAACAGCTGAGCTACAAATACTACTTAAGTGTGGACTGGGAAGATCATCTAAGCTACTGCCCCGTTCCTGATTGAATCGATCAACAACAGTGACAATGTCCGAGTCTCTGTAACTAAAATGATCATCATAAGAATCAATGCTGGAGGAATCAAAATCAAGAAGGCGCTCGTTTTTAAAGTAATTTGAGTCGCAGAGAGTGTCGCTTATACTAATTGTATCAAGTAAATTTGGTTGTTCAAGATAAAGTATGGTTTTAAAACCTTGTTTCTCAATGGCAGGACAAGCAAAATCATTGATTTCTGATTGTTGAAGGGGAGAATTTCGACCCTGAGACCAAAACCTACGAACTTCCCTTGCTTGGCACGAAGAGGCTACCACTTGCCTCCTTCTTATTACACAGCCATTGCAGGCTTCTAGCTCCAGTTCAGTTTCTTGCGGCTGCTCCTGTGGAGCATGATAATAAACTTGTTCTAACTCTGCCTCTACAACTAGAGGTTTGGTCAGTTCACCACAAAATGGGTCACTCTCTAAAGACAACCCTGGATGTATACAGAGTTTAGGGTCAGTGGAAGGTAAAGAGGGATAAAGAAGCTCATCTACAGTACAGTTCTCTACAGCATATGTTAGTTGCTGACCAGACAATAAACCGGTGTTAGATGCACACCTGTTACCTTCCCCTTCACCGAGGGACTCTACGTCCGTGACATTATTAAAGTTGTCCTCCGGGAGAAGAAGATTATCCTTAATGTGCTTAGCCTCGTTACTACCAGACGGGATGCTCGTCTTCTCGGATATACCCACGCTTGTTGCTTCGTAATCTGGTAAGTCCACTGCAGGGTGGTCCTCAATCTCATCTTCTACTCCAGAAGCTTCCATGTCTTCTACATCTGTTACACCTCCAGGCTCTCCCTCAACCCCTAAAAGATTACTATGATCAGGTGCAACTTGAGCTTCTTCTGTGTAAGTTGAACCATCAGGTCCTTCTTTCAGGACTATCATCTTCCTTATTGCAGCATCACGTATAATATCAGGGGTCGGAGCATCTTCTCGGGTGGCGTCTTCTAAATCCTCAGGTCCTGAAGTTTCAAAATCCTCCACATCAGTATGGTCACCTGGACTTGCTATACGTACTACCAGTTTTCCCTTGTCTTCCGAGTCACTCAAAATTTCAACATCAGTGTGACTATCTTCTCCCTGTGGACCAGGTATCAACTTAGAACGACTCCTGGCCTTTCGTCGAGGTTTCTTGTTTATGGGAAGCTCTTCTACATCAGTACCTCCCTCTTCCTCAGGTTCCACGTGCAATGGCTGGGTCTTGCGAGTCATTTTTGATATAACTTCTGTTGTTCCAGCTTCAGGAATTTCAAAATCTGATGAAGCATCTTCAGTCACCCCAACAAGTCTCAGTGCTTCTTCTTCTGATACTTCAATATCTTCAGTATCTGTTGCCCCCAAATCTTCAATGTCAGATACAACTAGTTCATCTTTCTGTAACTTCTGAACAGTAACTTGAGGGACGCCATACTTGTCTTCCTTAATGTGAATAATTTCTCTTTTTGGACTTTGTAGAACATCAAACTTAATATGTGGAGGCAAAGGACTGTGAGGACGGTATACCTCAGAAGGGTCTACATCAAAATCCTCCGTGTCAGTTGTGGGTTCCTGTTTATTCCGAGGCATCTTTAAATTTCTTGATGAACTTCCTTCTCCGTCAGATAGATCTTCGACATCTGTTGTAGTTTCTTTGTCTTCTTGTTCGAGGAAAACAACATTTGCTACTTGGTCCTTTATTATTTTACCTGCATTTTTCTCGAAGGTATCTGGAGTGATGATGATGCTTAACGGTCCTTGCTCGGTTTCCACGAATCGAACTTCGGAAACCTGAGGCACAAGAGGTAGTCTCCTGCCTTTTCTCCTTACCTGCTTTGGTGTCTCTTGCACTTCTTCTTCAATGTCAGATTCATCTATACTTTCCTCATCAGTGGCGCCTTCCTCAGTCTTGGATTTCTCTCCACGAGTTACCTTAACTTTAACTTTACTTTTTTCTTGATCGTTGTCCTCCAGGTCTTCCACATCTGTTTCAGCATTGTCCTCGAAAGCCTCTTGCAATGTCAGTCCAGCCATTTCAGCATCTTTTATCTG